TTCAAAAGATATACCTACGAACATGAGTATTATACTTACGCAAGATCACCTTTTAGAACTACAAACTTCGTCAGGAATTGATATCACAGTATGTAACAAAAAAGATTTCATTCTTTTAAGCAGGATTTCCTAATTAAATAGTCGACTATAAATAATAATAATATCTCCCATAGGCTTATCGCCAGTTGAGGTCGGCGCTAAACGGTTCGCAAGCAGGCAGGTTCTATCGTTTTTAACTTTTACAGACGACGGTATCTGCACCCCATCCGTCCAACGCTTCCCCCGTTAATGATTATGGGTCGACGATCACCAAAGAATCACGTGGCCGTGACATCTATGTTGACGTTTTGTTTTAACTCTGTATACTAACTAGTGGTAAAATCAATACGCTATCGACTGAACCATCCGGAGCAACCAACAGTTAGTAACTTGCTCAAGGTAATTTCATGGTTGACAACATCGTCGTTTAAACACAGCACCTTGTGAGCACGTGTTAATAAACATATTCAATCAACCATGGCGAGTCTCCTATAAATAAGAGCAAAAAAAGAATTTTTTTAAAAACCACGGCAGCTTATTTTCGAGAGATAGAAAACTTTCGACAGTTTAATCTCACGTAGTCTAGAAAAAATAATATATTTCTCTTGAACTATAAATAGCAAAGACACATATTGGGAGAAAGATAAATTATTATCTTTTAAAGGCTATTGGTTTACGTCTAAGCTCTTATTATGCGACACAATATTATGGATTTTCATCATTATTGAAAAATAGACATATTCTATGTAGGAATATGTTTCTGTGAAATATTTGTTTTGTCGATTTAAAAATTATATTCTTCATGCGATTCCAAATATATTGACATGGTAGATAGTTTCTTCCTTTCTTGTTCCTATTACATACGTGGCACGTCATTTGGACTAACTTCGGGACTCATACACAGACTTTAATGTGCTATTTTTTATGCATAATAATAAGCATTCTTAATTAACATGAAATGACTTACGAACAAGTAGAAAAAGAGAAAGTTCTGTACTCTAATATGCAACATGCTGCTCCGCTAAATAACAAATTAATACAGGCTCACAATATGCTTGAAATATCTAAAAATCTCTCGAAGATAGTATTAATTACGCCTTGAATTACATTTGAGTAACCTCAATAACAGCGTTTCCACTTTCAAGACATTAAAATTACTATATCAATTTCAGATACCTTTTTCTCGAAATTTTCAAATTAGATATTTGAAGAGATGCGCGACATATGTCAAAGTAATAGAATATGATTGATTAATAATCATGGCTCGGTACATGACTAGAGCAGTTCTATTCGCAAAGTATAAAAATAGACTTGTTTTAAAAGCAATCTGTGATTAATATTCGATTCATGATCATGGGTGTAAGTGTTTTCTTCGAATTTCACCATTTGAATATAGTAGAAACCACGCCATTTTTCTTTGTATATACTATCGAAACTATTTGATTTAAAGAATTTTAAAATTAGAATATCATGTAATTACTTTGTCAAAATAATCTTATGTAAACATAAGATTATTGATTAAGAGTCTCGAATGTATTCATCGTTAATATTTATTTAAAGTGAACTACATCAAGTTGTTCATATAATTAAGAAACATCTATTTGCATAGTAAAGAAAAATGCACGTTAAGTTCAGTCATTAATGTGCGTTGTCTTCTTCTATATGTATGTTCAACGAAAGAGATGTTAGTATTTGTTATGCTATTCTATCAAATATCCGTTGAATAGGTAGGAGCAAAATACTAACGGCAAGTTTAGTTATTGTTTTGTCTGTAATTAAAGAAGCTTTAGAAGATCAAAGATAATAGATATAACGCTTTTTCCTTCAAGTGTTGAATATGAAACCCTATACAATGATGACCTTAGTGCGTTGTCATTTGTCAATAGAGAAAGAACATCATCTTAGAAAAGAAAACAACAATATCAAAAAATATCCGAATTGAATCTGATACCTTCCCGCAACATATCATTTTTCAATAAGTTTTCTTTGCTTATTCATGTATAAAGCACTAATTATAGGCTGTGAACGAATTCGATTTCCAATCTCGTTCTTGAAAACTTATGACTGTTATTATTTTGTCTTTATAATGAAAATTAGAGAATATTTAAAAACAAAATAATTCTTTGTCAAATAAAAATTATTTTTCTAATTTAGTTTGATATCTATTATATTCCTAGAAATTTTAATTTTTAATGTCATTTTATAATTTCCTTTTCAGCAAGGGAAGATCACACATTGCATTGCTTTCGGAAAACAAACAATTTACACTTTTGTTTATTTTTTGTCCCTGTATTTGTGATATTTGTATTATTTGAGAGTAAGCGAAATCCCGATGTAAATCCTTGATTGAGAGACATATCAAAGAAACGAAAACAGATCGAACGCTGAAGTCTGTTATCACGAATTGTTCATCACGTCTTAAGCAGAAGATCAAAAGTTATATATACAATGATAGTCTACATCATCAATTGTCAGTACTATATCGAATGAGAAGAACAAGGAGATGAGAAGGCACTTCTATAGATTAAACTGAACAAAAGAGTATAATAAATAGTGTGACAGATGATAAAAAATGACATATCACATGACATATCAAACTTACATGTAAAGCGCGAAACGTAAATAGCAAGTGTACGATAAATAGGAACCCGCCGGAACGACTTTTCCAGAATTTTCCCGCTGAAACCGGGAACGGAAATGTTATTAAAAATGTGATGTTCCTGAAAATATGTTTGTCCTATTTTTATATTTACTAAAATCCATCGCTGTAATAGTTTTTATTTCGTATAATTTACAAAAAAAATTACAAATATCTGTTAAAAAAATGATCAAGACGATAATATGTAGAATACCAAGTGTAGATGATGCGCGAAGTTAATCTAAAAGAAATTGAGCAAATGAGTGCAACCAAAACTTAACGAAACTAAGAAGTAAACGTGAATGCAACCACTTAGCAGAGAGATGTCCGATGCAAAATTTCGTTTTCATTCATACATTTCGTGTGATTGGTTATATTGTGAAACATGAAATGCTGCGATAAGATGATACCTGACAATAAAGTTTTTTCAATGCAAAAAATGAAATAATAGTAGAAACTGTGAGAAACTTTTGGAAGGGGGAACTTTTAAACTTCTCCTGGGAAAGGAATCTGGGAACGGGAATGAAAGCTTTTTTTACAGGATCGAGAAACGGGACCCAATAAAAGTCGTTCCCGTTGGAGCTTATTAATAAACAGATTACTATCGAACGATTACTCAACGATATTATCATGGAATAATTATAATTATAAAGTCATAAACCAAAAATAGTAAAAAAAAAGCCATCTATTGTATGATCTTTCTTGGCTGAATGGGACAGTCTTTAGTAAAATGTAGAAAATAACTTGATAAATAGATATTTCATCTCAAATTTGCATCTTGATTTACTGACGAACTTTCATCGTATATTATACGCTCCATAGTGATATAATAAAATTATTTATGACCGCGAAGAAAGAAATAGGAATCTAAATTCTTTCAAAATTTTCACTAGCGGGCTGTATAGTATCTATCACGAAATAAGAATTATTTCCACATTAAGAATTTTTCTCCTTGATCAGTCTCTATTGTAATCAATATTAAAGCCTTTCCATCATCACATCTCCATTCTTTTGCTTTGTGTTAAATATTCGAACCTTGCAGTATTAATATCAATTAAATTTCATTTTTTTTATTATATAGAGACATTCAAAATCTACTTTGATTGGCCTTGTAATCACAGGTCTCACATTAATAACTTTCGTTTATGTTGGCTCCTCTATGAATAATTTGTATACTGCGCTCCAAAATTCCCCGCTGTCTCTTGCTAAAAATACAACTCAAGACTCAACAGTACGCATATTATGTTTAATACTGACAGCACCTAAATCGATTCTTACACGAGCGAAAGCTGTTCATGAAACATGGGCACCACAATGTGATCGATATTTTTTCATCACAGAATTTCCTCGAGAAAACATGACACTCAAACAAATTCAATTCGCAGAACAAATACCCATTGCACCAATTAAAAATATTACATCTGGTTATCAATATCTAACGGAAAAATCTACGCTAGCATTTTTATTCGCCTATAAACATTATTTCAATGATTTCGATTGGTTTGTCAAAGCAGATGATGATACATTTTTGTTTGTCGATCATTTGAAAATATTTCTAAGAAAACAGAGTACATCCGAACCTGTTACATTTGGTTACAATTTTAAGGTAGTTAGTTTTTAATAGTTTCATTTCAATTAGTCCGACCTTAGAATTGATAGTTGACAAAAGGTTTCATTGAAAGAATGATCAGAATAGTTGGCGATGCAGCCTCCACATGCTACATGGCACCAGGAAATTTTAAAAAATTCTTTTCCCGAGACGAGAAAAACTCTCATCTGTTCATGTTTTTACAGAACTTCCGATTCTAACTAGATTAAAATATGTTTTTTTTGAATGGATGGAAAAAGGAAGAAAAGAAAAATGTCGAAAACAAGAATATGAGATGAACATGAGCATGTAAGATTGAATTGAGCATGAGGGAGACTTGTACTTCAATATACTCTCGTTTTCAGTATTTCTATCCATCTGCATGTGTATTAATTTTGTTTTCGATATTTTTATTTTCGACATTTTTCCCTTTCGATATTTTCCCTTTCTGCCTTTTTCCATCATACCTTCTTTTTTCCATCCGCCTAACATGAAACCAGCAACGACAGACTTCCTGATTAAAATCTTTTAACACGAAAATTGAAACATGCTCAAAATAAAATAACAATAAGAGATTTAAACAAACTCTATTTCTCTATTTTTGATCTTTATCGTCATAAAATTTTTGTTAAAGGTAGTCGTTGAAAAAGGCTATCATTCAGGTGGAGCATCCTACGTGTTAAGCCGAGAAGCATTACGACGATTCTATCAAGCACATCAAGATCCAGCGTTAAACTGTCGTAAAGATGGTGGTAGCGAAGATGTCGAAATAGCCCATTGTCTTCGTAAAAAAGGTGTTTATCCAGGTGAATCTCTCGATAAGAAAAATCGTGAATTATTTCATCCACTACCATTTGCGAATCATTTTCTTGGTACATTTCCTGATTGGCTTGCAAAATATGCTCAAAATCCACCGCAAAGTGTAGGTTGAAATTTACAAATGCTATTGGAATTTTAAAACTATTTTTATCTGTTTATTTATTATTAGAATTACAATTGCTGTAGTGATCAAACAATATCATTTCATTATGTTACACCTGAAATACAATATCTAATGCATTTTCTACTATATAAAACTAAATCGAAATCGAATGTTGATCGAATATTGACTCAGAAATTACACAACTACATAGTATCGGTGAACTAATACAATCATATTAAATTTTATCGAAAGTCTTTTTATTCTTGTTTTTATGAAAGAACAGAAAATAAATCAATGCATCATTATCATTATAGATATAGTTGCTTGCTTTTCTTTTTGCATCAAATATTTGACTACATAGGTGTAGATTTTAATGCAGCTAAATACATGATGTTTGATTTATTTGATTTAATAGCTTCTCTTTTAATCATGGCATTTCGACAAATTCATACACCGAATGTCATCTCCAGATTATCATCGATTTTGCAACAAAATTATTTTTTATTTTTATTTTTATTATTTAATGTTTGTGTTGTTAATGATGTTGATTTTCTTCATTTGTTGTTCATTCTTTTTAATTTTTTAATTTCCTAATACAGCATTATCACGACCTGATGTTTCTAAACCTAAACCATAACCATTTTGTCGGTTGTTATTAACCATAACATTGATGTTGATAATTTTGACCCTTGATCTGTTGTTGAATTTGATACATTGATATTGACTTGAGGACTGATGTTATTTTTCATATCCATATTCATAGGTTTAGAAACATCAGGTCGTAATAATACTGTATTAGGAAATAAAAATAAAATAAAAAGAACGAACAACAAATGAAGAAAATCAACATCATTAACAACAAAAACATTAAATAATAAAAGGAAAAATAAAAAATAATTTTGTTGTAATATCGATGATAATCTGGAGATGACATTCGGTGTATGAATTTGTCGAAATGTCATTATTAAAAGAGAAGCTATTAAATCAAATAAATCAAACATCATGTATTTAGCTGCATTAAAAATCTACATTTTAACACAAACGAACCTATTACATATTTAATTACATAAATGCATGTATATATATGATGAACGTGAAAGTATAACAAGGTGAAAAATATTTTTTAATGATATATAAAAGTACGTATTTAACGAGAATTATAATCGAGGCTAAAGATTTCACAATAGAACTGAAATTGAAAAAGTTATCTAAGCCTATTGTTGTCTCTGTAGTTCAGTGAGAGTCTCATATTTTGTCATTCTCCCGCAATCAAGGTTTAATTGATATTTAAAAAACCATTGCTAAGATCAACTTTTCACATATGCGAAATCTATAAAGTCAAATTGAACTCCAGTGCCTGATCATTAGTTCTTTTTCGCAAATAAAATATTCTTGCAGATATGGTACATCCGAAAGAACAATTTTCACAGACGAAGTACCTATCGAGAAAAAAAGAGAAACTCGTTGTAATATCAACTTGTCTAGATTATTTTGTCGAAAGAGATGATTGTTCCATACCCTGCTGAATGGTATCATTAGAGGTCTGGTTTTAATGAATCGATTTCATTCAATTCAGAAACATATTAATATAGCTTTTTGATGTTGTGTATGATATTAGGATTAACATTTGTTTAGCTCGTTGAAAAAGGAAATGAATCATGTTCTTTGTCAAAAGAATTCTCAAATTTAAATATACATGATGAAGAGTTATTTAACATTTTATAGTACTAAAACTTTTACACACAGAAAGATTCTACTTAGAAAAATGATTAGATAAATAAAATGTTAGTTTCCCGATTTGCTTATATTCTCAAATGTATCGACAAAGATTCAGTTTTACTCCTATGAAGAACGGTTACTAACGAATATTAAATTGGTTTGCTTTGTTCTTGTCCAATGCTTTAACATTGTGGTTGTTCATAAAACACCCACAGACATGAAACTCAACTATTTAGACAATAGAACTGATTCGATGCACAATCTCGACCGGGATCATGATATTTTTCCTCGCGCAATTTCTTTTTGATATGCATTTGTACTAAGTATTCATTTCCATGTAGATTTCATATAACTTAGACTTTTCAAGGATATATATATAAAGTATTATTGAAGTGTTTTATTATTTTTAAGAAGAAAATTCTTCTAGACAAAGTATCCGAATCTCTTGTCATTGTTCATGTATGTATATGTATCGTTGATTTCGGAGAAACTACAGTCGAAAAAGTAGATGTTGCTTGGATCCAGCGAAGTAGCTATTTATCTAAATACTACCAATCATTCTTCTAAAAACGGTTGCTTCACTATAGATCTATTTATAGATAACCAATGCTATAAATACTATAACTTTCTCTATATTTATCTCGCTGATAGGGGTGAAGTTTAGTAGATACTAAATTTGCTTTTTAAAAGTACCTACATAAAGTCTGTTTGGAAGATATTGATTGTAAAACTTCACATAGGTTCGCTTTCGAACACATGAAATCTTAAGGCAACTGTTTTAATAGAAATTGGCGTTAGCTTATTATGATTTGGCTACTGTCTAATGGCAGTTGAATAAGCAAGTATAACAAAATAGTATATAAACTTTACAAAAATTACTTCGGCATGTTACAACACATTTATACTTCAATAGATTACTGTTATCTATTTAAAAAAAAGGTAATTCTATTTCACATTATTTGCCCATATTTATCTTTAGATGAATTCTTTTGCATGCCTCGAAAAGAACTCTCATAGAACTTCACTAATCTTCTTTAAATAAAAATCTTATGCAAGTGAAAATAATCTACTATTGGCTTATGTATATAATGCAGACTGACTCATCGTCCTAATTAAGAAGTCAACATCTGTTTGTATTCAAATATGTTTTAGATGAAACAGTTTAACGCATTAAATTTAAAGAAAGTATTTATAAAATATCTATTCAGCATAAACAGTTACAATTAATGTTCTCTTTTCGACAAATGACTAATCACGCTTTCTTCTGCTTCTTGTAATATGTCATAAATGTAAAGAAACAGTTCGATGCCAACTGCTGCGATGTTTATACTCTGGAATGAAAGACTCCTATAGGATTTATCAATGTAATCATAAGTAAACACTAAGACATGAGTGAAGCGTTGCTTAGATCGAGGCTTACATATATATATATATATGCTGCGTATTTTATTACGGTTTCCATATGCAGAACTTTTGTAAGCAGTTGTATACGACTGTGGGTGTTTGACCTAGGTGCATATGTGAAAATGTGTATAGTATAGGTATTTATTATTTGAAATACACAGCTGCAATTATATTCACATATAAGAAGAAGAAAAAACAAAAAAATAGGTGCATAATATAACAGAAAAACTCAACACACTACGACTAACAGTCATGTATGACAATCAATAAACAGGGCCTATCATTGATTCGCGATTTTTTTGCTACTCTTAACTCAATCAAATAAACGAAGCCTTGTTATGCGTGATATTGTGACTTCTCAGTGATAAACGGACAGATAACAACGAACTACTATTACTATTTCTTTCAGTATATCGCTGGCTTTTTTTTTCATTTTCCTCTATAGAAAAAATATTTTATTTTGTGTTTGGTGATAAACTTTTTTTTTATCAACTTTCACTCTTTTTTTCTTACATTCATCATCATTGAAATTACGAATGTCATTTATGAAATGTGGGCTATGCTTAATAATAAACGTTTCCTATCGATTGGTATTGTGCTCGGTTTTATTACAGTAATCGTCATTTTTCAATTGATATTTTCTACGAAACACTACGACAGTGTTTCGTCAATGATACAATATAGAGTCAATCAAAATTACAATCATGCAACATCGCCACGTATATTCTGTTTAATATTAACGTCACCAAACAGTTTTCTTTCACGTACAAAAGCTATCAATGAAACTTGGGCTCCACGATGTGATCGATATTTTTTCATCACAGAATATATTCCTGAAACGTTGAAACCCGAACAAATTCAATTCGCAGAACAAATACCCATTGCACCAATTAAAAATATTACAGCTGGTTATGATCATCTAACGCAAAAGTCTACGTTAGCATTTTTATTTGCCTATGAAAATTATTTCAATGATTTCGATTGGTTCATCAAAGCCGACGATGATACATTTTTAATTGTCGAACATTTAAAAGCATTTTTACGAGAACAAAATACATCCGAACCTGTTACATTCGGTTATAATTTTAAGGTAATTATTTATGCATTATCACCGCGTGTATGATTCGATACATTGATTAATTTTGAATAGAGTTTGACAGAGAAAACACTTTTTCCAATGAATTTTACCAATCCTTTAGTTTCCTTCGGTGTATTTTAGTACAATGTTTGTTTCTTTTCTGATATTTGTAGTTCATCAAAAGATGAACTATCCTATATTTTTGTCATGGAAGCTTTTCAACATTTAATTATGATGATTTTAATTCATAGGAATCTAGTATTTAAATGTCAGTTTTTTTATTTTTATGTTTAGGTTATTGTTCCAAAAGGATATCATTCAGGTGGCGGATCCTATGTGTTAAGCCGAGAATCATTGCGACGATTCTATGAAGCACATCAAGATCCAGCGTTAAACTGTCGTAAAGATGGTGGTAGCGAAGATGTCGAAATAGCCAGTTGTCTTCGTAAAAAAGGTGTTTATCCAGGCAAATCTCTCGATAAGCAAAATCGTGAATTATTTCATCCACTATCATTTGCTGATCATTTTCGTGGTACATTTCCTGATTGGCTTCTACAGTATGCCGAAAATCCATTGGGAGCTGTAAGTCTTTTCAAATGAATTTCTTGTTTTTGTTTTCTATGAATAATCAATGAATATTTTCTTTTCAGCATTATAATTGTTGTAGTGATCAAACAATATCGTTTCATTATGTTCCACCGGAAGAACAATATTTAATGAATTTTCTACTATATAGGACTCAGGTGAAATCAAATATTTTTAAGTCAAATAGTTCAATGACATAAGTGGAATGATGCAATGATAACAGAATTAGTTGATTTTATTTTATTTTATTTTATTGTTATTTTATTTGAAAATAGGTTTTATATGCTTTTAGAATATTTGTTGATAACAGTGTTACTAATTTATGCTAATACAACATCTTTTCAAATCGAACAAAACAATTTACGATACATCAACATTTAGAAAATACTTGAGTTAACTATAAATAATACTAAACTGATATTCACTAGGATTCAAAAATCGATCTTTCTCGTACAGGCAATTACTGTTGTTTTCATTATTTATTCTCCATGACACTGTGAACATGATGCAAATGTGTCATCGTCGGTGTCAGCAGGAAATTATGAACACGTAAAACACATACAATTGATAATAATCAGTATCTTGAAAACATTATGATGTACTCAACGTCATGCATATTCTAAAGAAATTTACTCTTAAAAAGATAATTCAAGATGAGTAGTTCCCTTAATAATAACACTTAGCTCAAATCTAGCTTCCTGAACAAGAATTTATCTCAGTCCATGGTCAAGCAATTCTATTTAAAAATTCAACGAGTGTTTGTTCTGTTACACATCAAATCATTACACTTTATTGTCGCTCTTATCTCGAACATATCTAATTTAATATCAGTGCAGAGGCGGCTGAAAATTATTTGAAAAGATAACCGAAGTACATCAAACATTTCTAAAAAAAAAGAGTGTTTGATTTTTATGTTTCAAAGGAAAATTTCAAAGCTATCTATTTCGAATTTTCAATCAATTGATAGTGAAGGTTATAGATAGTTGAAGATAAGGCATTCATGGGCTTTTCTGTTGGATAATTTGAAGGAAATTATCTTCAAGAGCGAACTTATTCGATTGCATAGGAATCTCTAATCCGCTCTCCCCCGACGACTCCCCGGGGGATTTCTCTGGGGAGAACTGGTCAGATTTTTAAAATAAAAAAAACTTTGTAATTTTTTAAATTGTAAAAAATTAAGAAGAATTTATTAGTAATTAGATATTTCATCCATTTTCCCCAGACAACTCCCCGGAGAGCCCACAGGGAGTCCGCACAACAGAACGAAATCCCTAGGGGCTCCCTGTGGATTCTTCGAGGGAGAATTGACTCGGGATGATAGTTGTTCACAGGGCAGAATACGATCTTTATACCCTACGAAATGACGTATCTAATCGTCAACTTGAAGATAGAGTTTTTTGAGTGTCTAAGAATTTAAAAATAAAAAACATCGACTGCACAGGGCGATATCAATAGATCGTTTGAATCTGAAAATTTAAGTGCAGAAATTGATAATAACGGTACAAGTGAAAAATGTGATTACCACATAAGAAACGACGATGAACCTCATCATTATGTCTTGTATGACTTTGATAAGAGTAAACAATCAATAGAGTCTTTTACATTTTGGAAAAACCATCACCAATAATTTCCACTCGTTTCAAATTACCGACGAGCAATCATATAGATTCCAACAACAGCAAATGTAGAATGAGGATTTTTCTATGCTGCTTAGATCTGAAATGAAAGAAGAACAAGTGCCTTTAACCAGACAATCTAGAAAATATCTTTTTAATACGATCAATAGAATTTACTTTATGTATAAATAAAATTTTGTGTTTATTTCTACACATTGGATTCTTTTTTCTCAAAGGAACCTTTCTAGTAAAGATTATGTATCTGTACTTTCTTATTCGTTGTTGAAACTCATGCATTTTATACGTAAAGCAATGAGTTTATATCGCTGCTTGAGTCATCGCAAGACTCGCGACATCAAACCATACTGGCTAACGATAATGTCGTCTTGTATTTAATATTTTTCAAAATTTCATTCAATAGTATTCATATACTTTGTGTTATTATGAACCCTTCTTTTAGGCAATAAGTTAAGTTTTGAAGTATTTTTTTCATTCAAACGAAGCTCTATAATCGAGAATACATAAGATTCGCGTTCGTTTTATTTCATAAAACATGAATATGAACATTGCATTGACAAAAAGCAAAACCTGACAAAAGCACATAAATTAAAATGTAAACGACTGAATCATTCATTAATAATTGAACATTAGAACATCCTGGTGATTTTTATTTTGAATAACTAATTAATTTTATTGCTGAGATTAACAATAACATAACTGATTAATGCAACCCATTCCTTTAAACGTCGAAGAATAACGATGGAATGAACATGATGAGTCATGGATTTAGCACGTTCATGTTCATGTTTCGTAAAATTCATGCGCTCAATTTCATTAGCTGACTTCCATTTTTGAGAGAAAACATAAAGTGCACGTCGATATCGACAAATCATTTCTTCTCTTAAATCATAATTTATTCGTTTAAATAGTTTATCAACCGCTGCTGTATATGGAACGTCTATTCTTAACAAATCTTCTATTGAATTATAAAAGAAAATCATAGCATTGTGTGCTTCCAAGAAAAGATTGGTTAAAAATTCCTATAAAGATAAAGATGAATATAATAAATTTCAAAAATTTATCATTTAAATACTTTATCAATGTTACTGTGTTGACTAAACTTCATATGATATTCGGCTTTTGGTACGTTCATTTGTGTATTATTCAATTCTCTCTCAACGTTGTCATGAAGTGTACCAATCGCTGTGATTGGTTCTTCAATCTAGAAAATTCGAATAAATAAACATTATATATGTTGTCTTGTTACTCAATTAAATCAAACTTACAATTTTTATTATTTCACTTGCTTGGCGTGAGATAGCTTGGCTGACTGTTTCGATGATGGTTAACTCCTCTTTCATACACAATATACTACCCATCATTGTACACATATGATCATTTTGTGAGCGACGAAGATTGTATGAAGCTACACAATTAATTGATAGAAGGACAAGTATTAAACTTGCTAATGGAGACATGAATTTAACTAAATAGATAATCATATTCTATTAAACTGCTTTACTAAAAAATGTTTTTTTGCCTAATAATTGTTGAAGCTTGAGACTAGCTCGTGTGTTGGATAGACGATCAACGTCGAAGATAGAAAGAAGACACTAAACGTTACCACATATATATTACGTCAAACCAACATGAATATAGATAATAGAAACAAATAATACCTGACTTTTTCTCGATACAAATGCGGTCTTGTCACTACGATTTGCTTTTAAATTAGCTTCCCTTTATAACTACATGATAGCAGTAGTAGCCCACTCCTTTAAATTATTATTTTTTGTTGTAAATCAATATTGCCTCCTACGTGGAAGTATTGTTTTTTATAGATATGAATTTTTTGGTTTTGCAGTCTATTCATTATATGTTTAGCATATATCGAGATTTTTTTTAATAAAACAAAATTGTTATCGATGACGCATGTTGGCAGACAAATATTTGAGCATTAGGAAATCATTGATAGACTTTACATTTATAGTATTGCCGATAAGAGCATATCAGTACTGTTGAACGCTTAAATCCATGGGAACGCAGTTTTGATTTTTTTTGCTGAATGATAATAAAAATATCGCGATACGTGTTTTACCAATAGAATCGATATAATGACTGTTTTCACAGATTTGATGTACGCCAGTGTCTGCGTCATTGATTAAAATTAGAACGGTGAAAACTGTCGTTTGAATTATGGCAATCGTAGTAAAAAAGTCTCGAAAAATAAATATGTTCGATTTTCTTCTCTTTAACTACTGCAATAAATCAGATCAGAGAGAAATTTGAAAAACATTCCAATAATCTAATGTAGAATTTCAAAAAACTCCTACTGTTGATATATTTCATTTAATTCTGCGTCATACAGATTACGCTAGAATATAATATTGAAAACGATTTAAAACTTGAAACACGGACTTCTATTTGCTTGCTCTCACAAGAAACAACAGTTCTCATGAACATTTTCCAGTAATTCAGCTCGACCGATATAACACTTTCTATGTCACATTTCTACTTTATTTTTTCAAAGCATTTCTCAATAGCTGAATGCAAACTTTATTCAATGCAATACGATCTACATGTTTTTCTATTTTTTTCATGGGAGCCTGACATAGAAGATGACCTTAGAAAAGGTAAATATATTTATTTGACATGGAAACGATTATTTTCTTCGGCTTTGTTGACGTACGATTGAATATGATATGCTATGTACCATAGGATCTATATTGCCAAAACAATGTTGGTGTTACATCAAAAATACAAAGTTTTAACATACTTCACACTTCAAAGATAACCGTATTGACTTCATCAAAAGCATGCACGAGACACTTCGGATTTACTTATTCACTCATTGTGACTAAATATACACACATGAAAGATTAGTTGCCAATTTTGACAGTCGTATGAAGATTGAATTATAAATTGAATAATATACATATTGGTTTACTGCTAGACAGTAGCTATAAGATAAGAATATTTGATCCAGCATATATAGACTAGACTTATTGTTTCTGTAATCAACTTGGGATCAATATTATTTAAAGATAAAATATCACATTTTTGAAAATTACGTTTTCAGCATGAATAAACACATAATATCATTTCGAGTAGGTACAAAATTGTAGTTGTCAGGAGACAATGAAACCCATTGGCACAATCATATTTGGATATTTGATACTGTTATTTGATAACAAGAATTTTATTGAACGCTCTAACTATCTTCAACGCTTGTCGTTCTTCACTTGACATGTAACATTGCTTTATGGAAAGTTTGACTTGTAGTAACATTCTGTGTGCGTGTGAGCTTAATTAAGTTTGCTGTATGATAGATGTTGATTGTGGTTGTTATTTTGACGAATTCTTTGGAAAATCTCTTTTGTCTGCAATCCCTCCATGGCAACAGACTCCTGTTTTAATTTGAAAAAAAAGATATTTCTTGGAGATTCTTGGGATTTTCAATAATTTTACCTTATAATTAAGAGTCACGAAGTGCCACATACGTTCATCACTATATACGTATATATATTTGTGTTTTCTCACAAATAGCCGTTTCTTGGGGTACTTTTTCAGCAAAACGATATAAATTTTACATAGAGGCTTTACAAAAATCTCTTAGAAAAGTCGTATTAGAAGACTCTAGACTTCTACACACTTGTATTACTCGCACTATCATCTAATCCTGCAATATATGTAAAAGCAAAACTACCGCTGTAGATGTCTCTGTCTCATACTGATTCTTCTTCGTGTGTGATGCTTAAAATCACTTGCATTCATACTTTTTTAAATATATCAATGAATTTTTACTTTGTTTTAGTTTGACTAGCTCAATTTATTTGCTAACTACTACATTAATAGCACTAACGAAAACAATAGGACAACAGACAAATTGTATATATCAGTTAGTTAGTTTTGAAGACCGAAAGCGACTCTAGTAGTGTAAACTTGTCGAAATTATTATCATATTGATTTATTCAAGTTTAGCTGTAAGATTGTTAAGCAAACTCTCAATAGATCGCGTCCAGTTGATTAATAATTGAACGATAATGGCTGCATAAGTATTATATTCAAATGATGATAATTCACGTTTTTCGTTTTTTGGCAATTTGATACCATTTATCTGCTCAATAGGTAGCCAGTCTGCTAGATAAACACGTAAAATATGTACATAATTGCAAAACATATCTTTTCGTAAAATAAATTGTGCTTTATTGAGCAAAGTATCAAGATGTTTCCCCCATGTACTGTCAGTGTGATGCAGATTTTGTATGGATTTATATAGGAAACTAATAGCATAATATTCCTCTCTAATTATATGAATGAAATTTTCCTAGAAGAAAAATCAATGAATATTATTGTTAAATAAAAAAATAATTTCTGTGTTTTACTCTCTCAACATCATTCTTCCATATTGATTCTCTATGATATGTTGTGGCTGGGAAAGTTGGTTCTAAAAGAGTCATTTTCTGGATCTTATTGACTAGAAGACTGAGTTTAGATGGATCATCTCGAAACTAAAACCAAGTATACATTGTTCAAAAATTGTTTCCTTTCTGAAAAGTATATTTACAATTTTGTTGTCAATGTCTGTTGCTAGCTGTTGAACGTTTTTGGCTGCTTTAGCAATGTCCGTTAGAATATCTGTTACACAAAGTACATTGACAATTGAACCACATATATGCTCGTCTTTTGTCTTGTTTTGTTTATCATTCGCACACACAACAACGATCACCATACAACACAATATGAATACATTGAATTTTGACATTTATTTTTGTTTCTAAACAATAGAAATGAAATGATGAAAAGAAAATAATTGTTTTTTAACTCTTGTGTAAATTACTATTATTTTTAGATAGGACTTTATGAGATCAGGAAAAAGATTTAAATAGATTTTATTTTGAGAAACAAGATGACTAAAATTCAGGATAAAAACTTCGAATGGCCGTCTTGTTTCCAATGGTCTCTCAGGAAAATGCTACATCTGTCAGTTCAAAATGAACTTGACATTGAAAAGAAGTTCCTATATGAACGAGTAAAGAGTCTGATATAATTCCTGCTGCAGATGTTTTTACCAAATATCATATTAGTAAGACAAATCTATTGGAATGAAATTTAATACTATGGGTATAATACTAAATCCTAGTTTTGTAATTGATATTTCCAAAAATATATCTTACTTGTTTTAAATTTCTATTGTAGTATCGAGACCAGCTCGTAGGCGATCAACGTCTAAATAAAATTTACTGAAGAGAATGATCTGTGCGAGAAATGAATAAAAATCAAGAGTATTTATAACAAAAATTCAATACAAATGTATAATATAAGTCTTTACTTAAACTAGAAGTCATACTGTAGAAATGATTTATGCCCACGTATATATTTATTATTAAGTTTCAGTCTCTTTTTAAACTAGACTGGTGAAACTCATAGTTTCTATTTTTTCTTAAAAATATAATTCGAGATAAAAAAAAACATTGTATGATAAATTTTGTTATGGCGTTTTCTTCACATGTAGAATGACTTTATTGAAATTATGATTTATCGATGTCCACTGACGGATATTAATTTTTCAGCAACAGAAAACTGACGTCTTCCAATAAGAGAAAATATAATTTTGAGCATACCTTCGCAATTCTAACATTTTTTTGGCATATGAGACAGACTTTGATAGCGTTCTATTGTTTTTTGAAAATCTATTTGTTCTTGAAAGTACAGAGAATTTCAGTAGTTTTTGTAGAACGCAATAGTATTTTACTGCTTCCGAAATAATTTGATTAACCGGATAGGAGTCTACTTTAATGCATTCGTTTTTCTTACACTCGAATGAAAGAAATGCTAAACTACTGGTAGAATATAATTACATAAACAGAAGTTCATTTAGAAAATTCTTTTCATGTCAAAATTCACGGATAAATATGTTTTTACATCTAAATTATTTCAACTTTGTAACTCTTCTAATGACAGATTTTCAGATATTCGCATGAAAAATATCAATGAACGTTGCTTAATTCAAGATTTAAATGTAGTTTGGTTTATTTTACTTGACATTTTCTCAATGCTTCAGATTTCAGTGCAACTAGTTCATTTCCACGACAGTAATTTCTGGTCACAATGAAAAAGAATTTATCAGCTCAAGAAAAGAGGGCTTGGCGTAAAAACAATAAACTATGACCCTGCTTTGTCTTAAATGTCATGCTCAGTATTGCGATAAACAAAAGCACGCATGATATTAGTGAATATTTCTTCATTTTTCATAAGTGCACCCATCGATCAAGGTGATGTCTTTAAGGTGTTTCTACGTAAATTCATAGTCTATTTGAATTCAATGATAAATTTACATGTTCAACTGTTTTTCATATGTGCAGTGACGAAACTGTATCGCATATGATTTTTTGTTGTATAATAGTGACGTTCTATCGTATAAGATAAAACAATCGCACTAAGAAAATAATTACAATCTTAAATGTGGCTAGCGTGAATAAATTTTATTAGTTTGAAAAATGATGATAAGAATCCTTATTCATCTTTTAATAAAAATGCGTAGCCAAATAAATACGAAACATCTTTCGAAATGTTTTCAATTCAGCTGTTTTGAATAAACGAAAATGATCAAATAGGTAAAGTTGTTTTTTTTTTAATTGACTTTTTTCTTAGGAATCATAAATCCAGCACATTCAAACCCTCTTTTTCATATAAAGCCAAGGCATGTAACTCTAAAACGATTGTGCTGACCAATGAAATAGAATTATCGATACAAAATATTTTACAATAGGCCTCGTTTGGAATGATGGCATTCCTCTAAATGTTTTCAGTCCATTAAAAAGTTGTTGTACCTACTTTCAATTTCTTTATTTGACAAATCGAGATTTTCATGAATGTTTGATGAATAGGAAAGGATTCATCGTTTTTATTATAGTCTTATTTTAGCTGACTTATGCCAAAATTGAATAAGATAAATTTCAAGAAACACTAGTAAAGAAAAGAACGTTTGAATAGTATTTGTATTAATCTGACGATTTAAGAGATTTATAAAAATTGATATTCTGGAATTATTCATTTTGTAAGTATAACAAATAATACGATCTCATATAATAAATGAAAGACTTTGTCGTGAATGACCAGATACTGGTAACAGATTGTTTTCTTAAAATATAAATATCTTCTCTGCTGATAGGAGTTATTCGATGATAAGTAAAAGAAAGTAAAATAATTTTCGTTTCTGATCTTTTGCGATGTTTTATTCAGAAACAAAAATAATATATGTTTTTAATCTGCTTGTGATCGTACATAGCTGTTTGATAGAATCAATATAATCTCAGCTAAACAAATAGTTAAGACGCAGATAGTTGTTTGTTTTGTTTTCGTGTTCAGATGACTTCTCAAGTTGAAGCTTGTTGATTTGAATTTGGTCCACGACGACGTCCGAAACTAGCGACCTTGTTAACGAATCGTTGTTTATACTGAAGACGACGTTTAGCACGACCGGTTTTCTTCTTGCGTTTTTCTTGTTTAGCTACCTAGAAAATTTCATTAACCAATTTTCTCTTGAATCACTCACTGGTTAAAACTATCATACCTTTGGTGTTTGACCTTTAACTTTACCGGCACGAGCTAATGAACCATGAACTTTACCACCAAATAATTTGATAGTAGCATCAAGTGCTGAACCAGGTACAAGACCGAATTGTTCAACAGTTTGTTCGTCATTTAAAGGTGTTCCATTGTAACTTAATACGAGATCATTCATATCAACATCATATTCTTCGGCGATATATTCCTGAAAAATAGAAGTAATAATTTCATTTTTAACTATCGATTCTTATGAAACGTACACGAATATCTTGAACTGTATCATCTTTTTCAAGATCGAGTGGTAAGAGCTCATCAGCACCACGGACGTAAATTTGCATGATTGCGTTTGAATACACTAAAATAATAGACGAACAATCTAGAGCAAAGAAAATAATATCATATGATGTTTCAAAAACAACAAAAAGTAATTTCGAAAGACGTTTTGATGAACTAATAATTATTTATTATTTCGAAAGAATAATCTCCATTTGATAATTTATGGAACAAACAAATACATGTGTGTGTGTGATACAATGATTATTTTTAGAATATTTATAATTTTCTATTGAGATTATTATTATTAAAATTAGCAATTAAATTGAAAAAAAGAACAGAAAATACAAATTTAGCGACATCTTTTTGTCTTCTATAGGGAACGCCTAATAACAGTAGTGTCGTATGTGACCCTCTAGTTGAACTTTTTTTGTAAGCGCACGCAATTTCTGACTTTCTTGATCAAGAAAGTCAAGAACTATGGACACATCTTGAGCTCAAGTCTTGGCAAACGCATGAATAAAAAAAGTTCGACTACGGTAAGTTGACTCATATATGCACATTTGTTATTTTTTCAGAAACTTTCAGTTCTTATATTCTGACATTCATTTTTTTCAATAATGCATACCCCATTGTCAGAGTAGATGTATGAACTTTTTATTAGCGGAATCAAATTTTAAACTTTTTATAGAATGAAGAAAAAATAGAAAAATGATTAGTAATTGTTATTAGTATGCTCTGTGCAGAGGAAATTAGTTAATAGTTTGAATTGGGTCCACGTCGATCTCCAGAGGGTGAAACGACTTTGTTGGCAAAACGGTGTGCATATTGTTCTCGGCGACGAGCACGGCCAGTTTTCTTTTTTGGTTTTTCAGTTGGAGCAACCTAATAAAAAGATTGAATTAATGATAATTATACAGATTCTTATGAGTCATGAATAGAATAGTTACTTTTGGTGTTGCATTTTTAACTTTGCCAGCATTATTAAGTCGGCCATGAGTTTTTCCACCTAATACTTTAACATGAGCATCAATAGTTGAGCCTGGAACAAGATTGAATTCTTCGAATAACTGCTCATTATTTAATGGTGCTCCATGTAAGCTCAAGACAATGTCATTTAGAACACAGCCAGATTCTTGAGCAATGCATTCCTATATGAATGAAATTAGTCGAAGAGATTCCTAAATGCTCAAAACTTACATAAACATCTTGTAACGTATCGTCTTTTTCAATATTGAATGCCAATAAATTGGCAGGGCCACGAACAAAGATTTGCATATTTCTAGTTGACCAGCGAGTGAAGTAAAACTTCTTTATGAGAGTTCTTGGTTAGAAGATTCTCTTAAATATCCGCAAAATTACATCAACTTCATTAAGAATTTCGTAACATTATAGTTATTTCGAAATTTGATCAAACAACTTTATCGTAGCTCTTTAAAAAAAAATGATGATTCATTTGCGCGACATCTATGAGTAGGAGTACTGGAAATGTGTTTATACCCGTTCTTCAAATTTTCCAAGATCATAGAAGTTATGACGAAAGTTTTTAAGCGCAATTTAAAATTTAAATTTAAATCGAACTTAATTTCGATGGACGTTACTAGGTAACCAAGATTAAAAAGTTGCTATCAAACTGGAAGAGCAAGACAAACAGAATAGCAACAATATCACTTATTAGTGCCTCTTGACAACTAGGTGACGAGTGTAACATAGAAGAAAAATGGAAGGTCTACCATGCTTACCCGGAAATTCATTTCGTGATCCAACAGTGCGTATCACGATCGGTCAAAGTTATCTCTTGATTGTAATGTAAATATTTGTATTTTAGCAAACTAACTTTCATGTCAGTCACACGCTCGATGTAAAAAATGGCCATCGAGTTACGAAATGGCCTCAAGTTGGATTAGGTAAGAGAAAACGTAATCTGTTCACTATTCATTTCACGTCTAGCTATGTTGTTAACATAGAGAAACCTTACAAAAGGAAATGGACTGTATTTAAAACACACTAGTTAGACTTATTCCAAATTTTCTAGCAACGTTATTTTGATATTTTTCTATGTTCTACGGATTAATTCAACTGTGAAAGATGAATGATTCGATTAGTATAAATAAATTTAAGCTCCGCAATTTTTTTATATTCCCGATTGAGTGATAAATCCGATCAGTGTCATTGTTTGTTTTGCAGGTGGTACACGTATTAATTATAATCAGATTAGTGAAGATGAATTAGAGCTTCTTCGAAATTACCGACCGGAGCTTATCTACGGCAAATCAGTTGTACAAACGCCGGATAAATTTGTTCCGGCCACATTAGCATTTGATAAAAAAGTTCTTCGATTTTTCGGTTATTTCAAACAAACAATACATGAAAGTCCAAATGAATATTATCGTGTACGACCAATAAAAATTCTCTACTATCTTGAAGATGATAGTTTAGAAATCCTTGAAGAAGTTCAAGAAAACAGTGGTATTCCACAAGGTAAATTACTTCGTCGTCATCGTTTTCCAAAAAATGATCAAGGTGAAACATATAATTTTCGTGATATTAATCTTGGACAAAATCTATCTGTCTATGGCAAAGTATTCCGCGTATGCGATTGTGATGCATTTACTCGAGTAAGAACTGCATGATGATGAAAGAAAATAGCTTTCAAGTCATATTTTTTATTGATTATAGGAATGGCTTGAAAGTGAAGGTATTCATGTAAATCAATCAGAATTGATACCACGCGATCCATATATAAGTAAACGAATCCAAGCAGCTGAATTGAAAACATATAAAACAAAAACTGATTTCGATAAACTTAAACAATATATTGAAATGGATCGAAAAGTCTTACGTTTCTATGCCGTATGGGATGACCGATCAAGAATGTTTGGTGAAAAACGGGAATTCGTTATACAATACTTTTTAGTTAATGATACAATGGAAATAAGAGAAGTACATCAAGCGAACGATGGTCGAGATCCATTTCCAGTACTTATTACACGTCATAAAATTCCAAAAGATCGTTATGATGTTAAAGGTTAGTCGAAAACAGTCTACTCTCATTGATCATTCTTTTAGAGAAATAATTAATACAGCAATCTAACACACATAGATATTCTACCAGAAAGAAATTTGCCTTGATGAAATTTCTAATGCCATCATTTTTAGGTACATTTCCACATGTATTTCTTGAATTAAGTGAAACAGAAGTTGCTAATTATTTTAAACCGTCGGATTTAATGGTTGGAAAAACTGTTAATATTTATGGTCGAAATTTTCTCATTCACGATTGTGATATGTTTACCAAAACATTTTATGCAAAAAATTTTGGTGTTAATAATTTTGAGCCTGTTGATGTTCAAGAAACACGTAATGAATATGCTAAGATGGTAAATTTTAAATATTTTTTCTTCGCGCTTTTGACAAGTCACTTGCCTTATTCTAGGAAATTCCTCCATACAACGGTTTTGGTTCATTAGAAGATTCCATGCAAAATTGTTTACGGCTTCAACCGGAACGACCGAAAAAAGACTATGTGAAATTAATGGAAAATGATCATCGTGTACTTCGCTACGAAGCTGTTTTAGTACGAAAACAATACAATATTTGTATTCTTTTATGTAAATATTATTTCTTTAAATAGGACAGTCCTCGTGAAGACGATAGATCACGTAAATTTATCATCAGTTATCGTCTTGGTGATGATACTATTACTATTCATGAGCCACCTCAACGCAATTCAGGTATGATCGGTGGACGATTTCTTGAACGAACACGTGTATCAAAACCAGGTAAATTAAAAAAAACGAAGAATAACTGTAAACAAACCTAATATATATATATTTGTTTCGTTTTGAATAGGTTCTACACTTGAACGACCCCAATTTTACGGTCCATGTGACTTTTACATTGGCGCAACTGTTGAAGTATTTCGTCAGCGTTTTGTCATTTGCTCAGCTGATTTATTTGTATTGAAATATGCTGAAGAACATCCGGAACAATTTACACCTGCTGTTATTGAATCATTACGACAACATTTAAGTAATGAAACTGGCCGACCAGATGCACGTCTTACTACAAACATACGTATACAACGTAGACCAGGTGATTTTATACGTTTATATGCTGAAGTGCGTAATAAATTGAAACATATGCGTATAACAAATCATGAAGAAATCCGACAAATGTTTTTACGTTATGATAAAGATCGTAGTGGTTTTGTAACTCGAGAAAATATTATGGACTTATTTCGACAAATCAATCTGCCACTTGAAAATGATCTCATAGATGCGGTACAAAAGAAAAAAATATTTGTCTAAAGAATTTTATTTTATTTATTTATTTATTTAGATGGTTGCTGAATGCACAACGAACAGTGAGGGCAAAATAAATCTATATGACTTTTTACGCTTTTTTGATAGTTAAAATAAAATAAGATTGATAACTTATTCTCCAACATATATTTGTGATCGACGATAAATATATTCTTTTTTTCTCCATTCTGCTTCCTTTTTATTGTCAAGCTTTTATTATATTTTACGTTCACAATTTTATTGTCTTCTCATTAAATAAACATTCGAAACCGTAAAGAAATTCTTTCACGTGCGCTTCTATTGAAATTGAAAGAATAAATCAATGATGATTTAGTCGCACAGTATCTTTGAAGACTTTTGGTTATGTTGCGTCTGATGAATGACAATGTCTTCTAGAATGAAGCTTTACGTTCATGTGTTTTTACCTTAATAGTTCTTTTAGGAAAGAAAAATCTTGTCAGTCTAGAAAAAGAATAAAAAGTGAATCGATGTTTATGGCAGAATCGTTATTTTAATAATAAAGAAAAAAATTCCATATACTTAAAAGTACTTTGTAGTATTCGATTAAAAATTTGATTAGAGTTTGGTTTTTCCATAGAGATATCCTTGATGCTTTCGCACATTCGGTAACATCTTTGAGTTGAAAAAGACCTTGATAAACTCTTTTCATATTCAAATGCATAATCTTCTATTGATACATGCACCGTGCGGTTGCTATTGTAAATGGTAATTAATGAGGGATGATTCAGCGGAGAGATGCTGGTTGTATTTCAAGCGTCTTTTTATAATAAGAAAGTGCATTTCAATAATTTCATACTCTTATAAGTAGTAGTTACCGAAAGTTGATTAAGCGAATGAGAATTAAGTTCACTAGTCAGTTTCTTCTCACGAAACAGAAGTCCAATCATACAATCAGCCTTTGTATCGTGACTTAATTCGAGTTGATTGTAAAGAATGTGTACTCTTGTATTGTCGCCGTCCCATGATTTGTTCAGTAGGATTTTATAGACTTCTTTGAATTTGTCGAGTTCACACACACTTGTATTATAAACTAGCTAGTTCTATGTCATTCACTGCTTTCTACGATCTCTGCACACATGTGCTCGGTCAAGGAATTGAGTTGATCATCATTGTCATTTGTTAATTTCGATTGCACTCGGCACAGTAGTTGATCGTCGATTATGCCATCGATTTGAAAATAAAATCTGTTCTTCTGAATATTCGAAAAATAACTAATATTAGCCAATGAAATAAATGGAGTCAGATTGAGTGTAGAATCAATTTTCATGCAAAATAGAATTCTAACCTTCTCTGGTTCGTCGCGTGCACTATATTATATGCGACAAGAAAAGAGCCTTGCCGACAACATTTATTGTTCCTTATCTGCTCGAATGTGTGTTCGTAGAAATTTGTTGAGAATATAATAAATAAACCATTCTTTCGTGTACCAGCAAGCCAGTGCATGACGATGGGCCGAATTCATCTAAATCTACACTCTGGAGAACCAGTTGGAGAGGGAATGCCAATTGACGACCAATTGTTATTAAATTTTCGGCTATCTCGTTAAAAAAGATTCAACTGCGCTGAAGATTCTTTTTACTTTTCTTGATTCACTATAAGATTCTATGATTGTTTATTTTCACAAGATATGCAAATGGTAATAAGTAGAGGTAAATTTCTTCGATGAGCGGTACACTTTCTTGGCCAAGTGTATCCGGGACAATCACAAATAGTTTTTTATCTTCAATATCCATGAGAAAAACGATAAATGAACGCAGCGCTATTTTGGAGCTGCTTATCATCTTCATTGGAATTATTCAAATTTGAATTCAACTAAAATCTGCTGCAGTCATCTGATAACGCTCCGGTACGAGAAGATATAGTGTTGAGTAGTAGTCTATCGTCGTTCAATATCTGCAATGACGATTTCGTACATGGTAAATGGCCTCCCTGTCACACTTGTGTCTGCCACGTGATGCAGAACTTCATTGGTAAATGAAAGAGACTTCTCGTTACTATTGTTGCCTATTAAAATTACACTCAATGGCACGATACATGATCTATCAATAAATAAACATTTTCTTTTTATTATTTGCTAGAATATTTAATATGTAAATTACATGTAAAATTTTCGGATGGTTGACAAATACGAATAACCAGAACTCATTTGATCTGATAAAGTAGTACAGAAAGTAATGAAATTGGAGATAATTAAAGTAATCCACTGAGAATTTGACACTTTATCGTGCACTCTGATAGTTCTGATGAATGTCGAAACTATTCAATGATCAAGATTGAGTAAGTCTGTGTCAGTTCAACGAACGAAATTTATACTGATTCTTTAAAATGGAATAGTTTAGAGTGAAATAAGAGTTTACTCTGATTTATTAAAATAAACTTAGCGCTTAGGGACCTGCAACTCAAGTAAAACAAATAAACGATTCGTTTTTTAATGCATCTCTCGTTTGTTCATAGACTTGAGTTCTAGTAAATAGTTAATGATCTAATGTATTTCATTTCGAAAAACTTACTTGATATCAAAGCAACATTTCCACTGATATTAAAAACCAATCACTCTATTCAAATAGCAAAAACTCTAGTCTATTAGCTCGAATGCCATCTTCACTTTAATGTTTCCTATAATCTTAAAATTCTATTCAAGTTTTTTCAATAAATCAATATCAGATAAGAAAATTTGTTGATATACGATTACAATCAATATTCATCAGAGATCATTGTCTATACATACAACAAAACAAGTGCCATCCTAAAACACCAACGATGCATTTCCAAAAGCTAAATTGTACATGAAAGATATAATAGAACATTTTTCGTACTAAAAGTACATTTCGATGATTTGTAGAATTGCAATTCAGAAAGTTGTAGGTTTTTTTACGTATCAAACTGATTCTTATAAAAGTTTATTATTTTCTTGGCGATTCCAAATTTCTTACAAATCTATAAAAAATTAAACATACTTTAAAAACAAAGCAATTATGTCAGTACGATAAAAAATTATTCAATGGCTTCTTTTTTTTATCCACATATCCCATTATCAATTTGTTTTGTATAACTTGATATTTATCTAAATGTTTAATAACTTCTTATAAAATGATGGTAGAATATCAATAAATTAAAGTGTTGATACATACTATCTAGATAATTGATATAGAATGATCATCTAATTGTAAACATAATTTTCAAAGATCAACAACCAATAACTACGGCTCTTAAACTTTATTTTTACCAGAAAAAAAAACAGGAAATGTGGTGACAAGAAACAAAAAGAAATTAAGGGTGTCAACTAGTTCTTTATTGACATAGGAAAAAACAAAAATGGATCTACAGTTAAGGATAGTTTCCACAATGAATGTTTTCTATGAAAAATGTAAATGGGAATGAAGCTCAAAAATTAGTTGAGAATGGATTGTTCTAAATTGTTTATTTTTCGAGATCTGGTTCATATTCACTTTTTTTCATTTTGGTATAATCGTTGAGGTGAAGGTATTTTGCGCGGTTAAATGAACCATCATCGTTCACTTGAGTTTCCCATGGACGATCTTGATTACGTCTGTTGCATTTAACATCAGATGAATATATTAAACTGCGAACTGAATGTCCGGCTGCCATAACCACACCAAGTGCTACCACAGAAAAAAGTGGAACTAACGAATAATTTGCTTTAAGCGTTTGCCATGTTAAGCCTTTCAACATTGTTCAATATATTGTGAAGCAATAAATATCTCTAAAAATACAACACCTATTTAGAAATCATTGAAATAATTTGGAAGCTAATATTCTTGTTTTTATTTTATTCTTTACTTGTTTTCAAAGTGCTTGTTTGTTTTCTGTTACTACTATTTATTCATTTACCCGAGCCCGAACGGTGCGTTATGCACAGTATACCTACGAATAGATGCCGATAAAGATGACGCTAGACTACATAGATACACATACGAAAATAATTTGTTTCTACAATTTGAGAAGAATTTCTCTTGAAATGCTATTTATTAATTGATAATTACTTTTATATTGTGATAGATCATTGAAAATTTTTCTTCAAGGACTCAATCGATCATAGTAACGATATAAATTTGATTTTCAAGCAAAATCATATTGCCAAACATCGATTGAATTTGACTTTCGTCGGCGATATTCAGGCGTGTTTCGTGGCGTCTTGAATAAACTGACATATGTGTGGATGTCTAGCAAATTATGCTTTCACTCCCGATTAGAATCTTTGAAATGGTTGTACGCGCTCCACACAGAGAGAGAGAGAGACGATTGCTAACTTATTCATAGGCATTCCATATACTATCTACGTCAAATCATGCTGATTCTTTTTCGACGAATATTGGAACTATGAAATAATTAAAATATCCATTCATATTATAATCATTTGATGCATTTACTCTTACCGAATCAAGATTATTATATTAAATATCAGTGTAACCAATAGAATTTTTCTCGGCACATGCAAAACATGTTCGGATCAAATTCAAAGTTCTTTCATAACTGTTGAGTTGAGCTCATTAAACGGCACGAAAATATGTATATTCCAAATCAATTAGAAAAGATTTTCTTACGATATCAAAATTTTTATTATGTTTTTATATTTAATTATATTTTATATAGATAGTATCTGTGACGTTTGTTTCCTTTAAAACTCCAAAATATTAAAATTTAAATGTTTTAGTTCTTACATGACAAAGAGAGACTATATTTTCAATTTTTTAGCCTCGGAATGAAAATTCTAATATGACATAAGTATGTCTATTCTAATTAAGTAACAATACCAGCATTTCCATTATGACAATCATATTAATTTTCCAACAATTTTTGATTCTAAAGAAAATAAAACATTCACGGATCTTTTCAAATATTAAATTTATATTGAAATACAATAAAATCTTGGAAAGATAATTTTAAAACTCGATCGTTCCATAGAGATCTTTGTTTATTCTTGTCAACCCATCAATGAATGTTTATCAAAATAGAAAAAAAACGAGAAATTTTAATTTTAAACAGTTTTTTTATTATATCTAGAAAAAGAGTTTATGCAAAATCTTTTGATGATTAACATACAAACTGCAATATTCTGCTTTATAAAAAAAAAAAAACTTCTTTTTTTAATATAAAAAAAGGTCAACATATTTTTCTCGGTTTAATTGTGTTTTTTTTAATGTAATTGCATTAAGTGAAAGAAAAAAAGAATAACATTATAAATGTTCGTTTATTTACTTTTTTTTCCGATAAAATCTTAAGATAAACTAACATTTTACTTATATCAACAAGGTGTAAAAAAAAACAATTCTCGAACATTTATTGGCATAAAATCGTCCATAATATTTAACTTATGAGGTGGAGAGAACCTAATCATTTAATATCTAAACATGCCAATCAATAGCTATAATTCGTCTTTATATAACATTTTTCATTGATGAAATCTGGTGCTGACATTCATTTACAACGGAGAAAAAGAAAAGAAAGATGACTGATTGAAATATCGTTCTTTTCGTCTTCTAGTAAAAGAATAACATCTGCGCAATAAGATTGATTTGTTTTACAATCAAATAATTATCTTTCATTGTTGTTAGATTTTAAACTAAGAACAAAGTGAGCGGCAAAAAGATGATTTAAGCTTGTCATCCTATACGTATGTATGTATTGATTGGTTCTAATTTCAGTATGTATTCAATTATGATTATTATGTCCTTGCGCTTACTCTTAATCTTGTATATTTGAACAATTTGTCAGGTGAAAATGTCAGTTAACCATTGTAATTTGATGAAGCGAAAATGAATATCTCTTATGTTGTTTTTTTTCTATGTACTGTGAAGTATCCAACATACACCATCCATTATGATCATGTCAAATCGAGGTTAGATCAAAAGGTATACTAGTTGTTTCTCTAATCGCTTTTTGTGATGTGTGAACGTGTCGACAAAAATGGACATGCGCTCACGTATACTATTGTCCATTGAAAAAGAAAAAGAAAGTAAAATTGAGCAAATTATATTGAGAGCAGCAGACATCGAATGGTCGAATGAACAAATTTTCCCGTATGGATGCTGCTCTGTGTGTATGTGTTGCTTTTGTATTCATTCAAGCAAAAGAAGTAGAGAAAATGCTCATCATTATCTCTTAACTAGAGATGTGCTTGTCGACACCCTTAAGCTAATCACAACACAGAACGACTGGCAGTAGATTTCTATCGAAAATTAATGTAGCATGTCGTGTCGTTGACATACTCAACAATGTATATGTCTCATCCTTGACGATTTACACAGCACGATTTAATAATAATAATAATAATAGCATATTGAAGATGATGAATTTGTTCAGTTCTTTTCATTTCTTTTCTTTTTTTCGAGTTTCTCTATGTAGATTTTGTTTATTAAAAAAATGACGTAATGCATTCTTTTCTAAAAGTCATGAGTCAAGAAAATGAGAAAAACTTCGGTTATCTATTCCTGATTCTTTACTCCCTTGTTGTCATCAGGGTAATCGTGCAAGTCTGCACGTAGTCACAAAAGAAGAGACTGGAACCGGCTCCTTTTTTCAAGGCATCTCAGCTTTTCTCTTCATCATGCGCTGTCTTACAACAATAAACTGTCAGAATGATTGACGTCGTCTTTAACTCTTACTTTTTTTTTCGACTCAACATATACACATACATACAACATTCCAAACTGCGTAAACATCGCCGTGATGGAGAGTACAGACTCATATATGTATATATATATATATACATGTATTTTTTTAGTGACTTGTTTTTTTTCTCTCTCTCTCTCTCTCTCCCTTCCTCCCTTGACTCATTTCCATATTAAGTGAGTAGCAAAATTAAGTATAATATTCAAAAGTGCAGGTGCTCATTTTAGAAGAACTAATTGGAGATGACGAGTAAAATAATGATATAGACCTTTCCTACTCCATTTCATTTCCGGAACAAGCGCACTTTCTTTTTATCCCATAATTGTTCGGTTTTTTTTATACTCGTATACCGTTGGTGTGTGTGTGTGTGTGTATCTGCCTTCCGTTTCTGGTGTCGGAACTTTTTCTTTTTCCCCTATGAATGTCTATTTGTTTGTTTGCAAGTAACGGAAGCAAAATCGATCGACTCTCATGATAACTGCACTACATCATATAAGCAAAAACAACATCATCATCATCATCAACGAGAAAATGGATGATTATCAGTTTATAACAGCAGCATATCTGGCATATAAACACTTATAAAGAAATTTGCATAGATCATACTCGTTAGATTATCTTTCTTTTCTACTTAAAATAGGCTCGTCATTTCTCCAACGACAATGATCAATCAATATAGTTATACAAAGACTATAAACAAAAACGAGTCAATTGCATATTGAATCTGGTTTAAATCAATGACAGTTGTCGTTCGTTGAAGATTTTGTTTTAAAGATTGATGCCAATTAGGATGACAATAGAAACGTAAACATCTTTTGAAGATGAATAAATATCAATGAAATATATTTTAGAAAAAAAGGTCAAATTGTGTTTTTTTTGCTTTCTATTGGTGAAAATAGAGAAGTTCTGTTTTACAAACATTGGCTGTTGGAAGAAGGAAAGAAAGAAGAAAAAAAATGAAAGAAAAAAGAATCAATTTTCTTCTCTCGTTCCGGCCAACCATGTTAATGCAAGCTGCATCAACATTGGTCCAAAAAAGAAGGAAAAATAATGAACACGAACACCTCCTTCTGTATGCAAATAGAAGAAAAAAAAAAGCTTTCGAAGAGAAGAGATGCGCATCGTCTTTTGTTGATCAAACAGGCTGCTATTTCTGACATATCGTCATAGCGAACAGAAGAAATAGTATACATTATTACTACTCGCATTGTAGATTTCAGAACAAAAAAATTCTACACGATGACAAACGGTAACGAAAAGCAACAACAACAACAGCAGCAACATGTTTTTCATAGTTCGTTTTCAATTCGAAGTGTTCTGGGTGAAGACGACATGGTAAAATTGAATAATTAAGATGTTTCTTTTTTTCTTCATTGAAGCTCTTTTTTTTCTTTGTCTTTTAGAAAACTAATATTGAAAAACTATCGAAAACAGTTTCATTTTATACATCTATGCAAGCAACAAATCCATTAAAACGAACACATGATGACAGCAACGATGAAAATGAACATGATATATCGCCAAAGAAACGTTCAACTATTATTCATAGTGATTCAGACGATCAACATCATCAACATGACGAAGATGTTGATATTGGTAATACATCTCCACCTATTTATAATTCAGAATATGATGAAGATGATGATATTGAAACTGAAGAATCGAATTCTCATTTAAAATCTTTAGCTAAAAAATCTTCATCGTCAATCTCAAGTGAATCATCATTGGATCATGCTTCGGGTTCAGACGGTACTCATAGTCGAAATAATAATATTAAAGAAGAAAAACAAGTGTTATTATCATCATCATCATCGTCGTCAACTTCATCGACGACAGCAACAGCAACAGCAACAACACCGGCACCTAGAAATAAATATGGTGTTAAACCAGCTTATTCATATAATGCATTAATCATGATGGCAATACGTTCATCGCCACATGAACGATTAACATTAAACGGTATCTATGAATATATCATGAAATCTTTTCCATACTATCGTGAAAATAAACAAGGTTGGCAAAATTCAATTCGACATAACTTATCATTGAATAAATGTTTCGTTAAAGTACCCAGACATTATGATGATCCTGGTAAATATAAAAGCAGAAGAAAAAAATGTTCATGCTTTTTCTTTTCTTCTTTTTGAAGGTAAAGGAAACTATTGGATGCTTGATCCATCGGCCGATGATGTTTTTATTGGTGCCACAACAGGTAAACTGCGACGTCGAACATCGACATCGAGAAATCATCGTTTAGCAGCATTTAAACGTGCGGGTCTAACACATCCAAATCCGTTTGTACCAGCATCATTTCTTTCACAACATCCACATTCAAATCCATGGCCATATTCAGCTGCAGCCTATGCTTCAGCAGCTGCTGCTATGTGGTCAGCATCGTCATCTTCATCAGCCGCTGCAGCAGTAGCTTGTCAACAGCAACAGCAACAGCAACAACAACAACAACAGCAGCAGCAGCAGCAACAATTTTTAAATGCTTTAAATTCTCATTCTCATCATTCGACAAATTACGTTTTAGCAGCGGCTGAAGCCTTAAGACACCATCAGATGCCAAATAATCGATCGATTTTAGCTGAACATTTATTATCGGCTAGTTTGATATCACCAAATAAGACGAGGTCAGTGTCGTAATCTATAAAATGAGTGAAGAAGATTTCTTTGCTTTCTTTTTTCCAGTATCATATATATATAAATATAGATGTATGGCGAGGAAAGGATTATTTCTTTTTTTCGCTTATTTGTTTGTTTGTTTCATTGTTTGTTTGTTTTTTAACACTTCGTTTTTACCCCTATTTTCTTCTGAATTTGTCAAAAAAAAATTAAATATTCTTTTTTTTTCTTTCTTTTTTTCTTCGTTTGAAAAAATAAATTTATCAAGCTGCCGCTACAAATAAGATATCAGTTTTTGTTAGTATTGTTTTTACTATGACGAAAGAATAATGGAGAAAAAATGGGAAGGACATATAAACTTCTCTCTTTCATCATCAATTCCAGCTGTCGCCTACATCATATAAACATACATTTAGCATTAGTCTTTCTCAATTTGTCGTCATTTATGTTTTCCTATGAATACAATAAAAAAAAAAAAAAAAGAAACTACCAATATAAACTATCAACCGTTTGGTGCATCATTATAATCATAAATTATTGTTTGATTGTTGTCAGCTTGCGTTCAATCCTCATCCTTCCTGTTTCTTTTTCTTTTCTTTTTTTCATATATTCAATTTAGTAGATACAATTTCAATATGTGTGTATACTGATTGAAATTTACTTTGAATTAATTTTACTGTTTAAGGATCAACAAATCTCATTTTAGTTGTTGATCATATCTGATTACAATTGTTCAAATAGTAGCATATTTTGTTTTGTTTTTTTATTGAAACAGTTCATTCGGATTTAGATGAATATAATACATATCAAGATTTCATTGTCTTGGTTGTAAAACGAGAAGAAAAACTTAGGTAGTGAGATTGCCACGAGCTATAAAATAAGATCAAACATGTTTAACGTAATCAATGTGACCCACGGCACGACTAGTCGGCAACATAACAATAACTAATGAACAACATGTCGGTTAAATGTGACAATGAGTCAATCTCCTGCTGAGTATATAGAAAAATGTTAGATCCGCTCGATACTCAAGGACATAATCATACAAGCAATTTGATTTTTTCTTGCAACACTTGAAGTTTTCTTTTTCCTTTTATAGTTTTTTTTTCAAAGAGAAAGACTTATTCTAAGTATAATTAGATGAGTATCAATTGTCAACATATGTACATTTGATTGATTTCTTTTTCTTTTTTTAGTGTTATGTAGTAGTAGTTGTAGTTGTACTGGACAATTGCGTAATATGTAATCTTTTGATGATTGGTTTTCATGAACAAATAGAAACGATAATCATCAATTTTAGTATGTATATATATATATGTGTTCGATGAAGACAAATAAACGAATAGTATAGAAGAGAAAAGAGCAAAATTGAAATCCAATTCAAATGCAAACGATGTCGAGAAAGAGCAAAACTAAATAATCTATCAAGTGGTTAGAATTGTATGCTTGTGTTATTTTTATTCTTGTATAGATCTTATCAACAACAAAAAAGAAGAAAAATCCTATGCATGTGTATGTATACATATATATATATGATTGAGTGGCTTTCACGCAACGACAACACTTCGAAATTCTTCTGCGAATAGAAGTAGATTAAAAAGAAAACACAGACATACTCTCAATTAAATCAGTGCGGTGTAGGTGACTTTGACATGCGTTTCAAATCAATGAATGAAGCTCTACATAACACACGAAATTGACCGCGTGCATCCTATAGCTATTATTAGCATATATGAGATTTTCTAAATTAGAATATCAACATTCTCTAACAAATAAGATAGATAGAAAGAAAAACTATCTGCTAATCTTTTCTACTAATAAATAAACATACAATAAGGAAATGGGCGTGTATGTTCTTTAGCAAATGATTATCATGAAGTATATGAAGCAACAGCGGGGAGAATGAGTAGTGTACACGAAGGAACAGCTAATTCCTTGTATATGAGCTTGTTAACACACACACACACACATACAATGTTGATGATGGTTAAGTACACGAATACAAGGGAAAATAAACATTAAAAGATGCACAAGTCGACAAGTATCTCTATTGATTGGCCAACAAATAATTTACCAAATAATCTACGCCCAACAGATAAATCTGTTTACGGTGTCAGTATGTTCGAGAAAGGGAACGACGATAATGTTTTCGTTCTATTTATTTTACAACATAATATAGAAATTTCTATGAGTAATGTGAGATGTGCAATAATCATACAAATGAAATGTTCTGATTTAATATATAACAAAAAAATAGAAGAAGAAAGTTTAATCTTGCAATTTAAAATCAAAGAAAAATTGATGGTTACAGATAAACATAAGTTTATATGATCATCAGATAAAAGCAATCGATCTTTTTCGCTTTTTGAATAAAATGTCAAGATCAATTGCATTACATTTCTATTGGATAGTTATATTTGTAAACATCTCAAGAATAATATTTCCTTTTTTTCCTCATGTTTTCTTTCCGTTTTTTCCTCTGTATATATATTTGATATACATCTCTCTTATGAGGTTTCTTTTTAAAAAAAAAGTAATGCGGCCCGGAAGCATTATTTTTCTATGTCAGAGATGTCGATTAGCAGAATATATGCTGACGGAGATATGATCTAACGCGAACAGACAATGAAATGTTGAGCCAACTCATGCCAAGTGATGGATGCCAGAACATAAGTAAAAACGAAAAGAAACATGTATCAAACATAATAGCAGACACTAATCATTAGTCGAGTCGATTAGCACTGCTGTGCATATATAACATCGATGGCAAGAAAAAAAGTCAAAGTAATTAAAGAGTAAACAAACAAATAAGACTCTTTTGCGTTTCTGTCAAGTTCGATAGATATGTAGATAGATCATATTTCGAGATAAGTATGACCTAATTGATGCTAGAAGAAAAGCTCAGTTTTATTTTTTCTTGACCAAAGAATATAATACAAGAAAAAAAACGTCCATTTTTATACACTACACACAACAACGACAACAAGTTTATGAAACTAGAACGAAAAAAATAAAACAAATGTGCATTAGTATATATGTAAAATGTACTAGTTACCTAGATAATCATCCATTAATGTGCCAACGGCGAACTAAAAACAACAAAAATGTCTTTTGCTTATTCTGGTTATATTTTCTGTCTAGTAGTAGAAATATTATGCGTATCAATTGGCTGATAGAAAATATCAGATATGAAAAATAGTCTACATAGCAATCATACGTTCTTTTTTTTCTTAAAAATGAATTCGATGTTTTCAACTCATCTGACATACGCCAAACATAATCACTACGGTTGAGCTCTCCTATGTGATGTTTTCTTTTAAATATATTGAATGCAGTGGGTTTAGTATCGATTAATTAGAGTTTTTAGATTGGAAGTAGAGGTGTCAGCCGTGCGGCTGAGCCGCCGCCGATTACCTCTGGAAAATTAAAGCCGCCGCCGCCGCCGCTGAGGCGCTTTTATTACAGCCGCCGCGCCGCCGATGGCATGCGAAATTTTAAAATTTATTAGCCGCCGCCGCCGACCCCTATTATTGATATCGACAATTTTTATTTATATTTTCATTTTTTAATGAATTTCGATGTTTTTATTCATTTTTCATCTCAATATGATATATAGAGATGCACCAATTCCTAGTACATGATCTGATAGATGACATTTTTGCCTGATGAAAAACGCAGTTGTCCGCTGATTCCATAGAGAAGTCAAGATCAGTTTTTTCGCCTTCTCTGAAACCATAGTCGGAATTTATGAAAGATTTTCAAAAATGCTTCGGATTTCACGTGGTTTTTACACAAAATTACAATTTTCAAATTTTGTTGGGTCAAATGCTGGGAAATCTAATTCAATTTCAGACTTGCAGTTTGTATCAGACAAAGTCTAGTGGCGGTTCCACGGGGTGGCTGAGGGGGATTTAGTTCCCTCAGGTAATTTTTAGGCGCCATGAACCGCTCCCAGTGTAAAATCCTGGCTCCGCCACTAATAAAATCTAAGAATAGATTTGAAGAGAGCGTTCAAAACTGAACAGAAATAATATGAAAAAAGATGCTCGGCTGATAACTGCGAATGACGAGCATGTTCTTTTTATACAGGGGAAAACAATTCCTGGAATTTTTGATCTAGTGTTTGCTTCTTTTCAGTATTGAGAGTTATCGACCGAGCATTTTTTTTCATATTATTTCTGTTCAGTTTGAATGCTCTCTTCAAATATATTCTTAAATTTTGCCTAGTACAAACGGCAAGTCTGAAATTGAGTTGGATTTCGCAGAAATTAAGCGCCCAAAACTTACAAATTCTAATTTTATGTAAAGTCCAGGTAAAACCCGAAGCCTTGTTAAAATCTTTCATAAATCCAGACTGCAGCTTCGGATGGAGCAAAAAAACTAATCTTGATTGATCTATGAAATAAGCGGATGACTGCGTTCTTCATCAGGCAAAAATATCATCTTTCGGACCATGTACTTAGAATTGGTGTGTCCCTAATTTATTTAAATGCACTTTATTTATTATGCCAAGATGTAAAATAAAGTTGTTTCACATATTTGTTTAAAAATATTAACGGTAAGATATTGCAATAGACAGAGTGTTCTTGTTCACAAAACTAGTGCTTTTTTAACCTTCCAGCCGCCGCCGCTGATTAACGATGAACCCAACGCCGCCGCCGGCGGCGACAAAAAAATTAAATTTTTAAAGCCGCCGCCGCCGCGCAGCCAAAATATTTGAGTTAGCCGCCGCTGAGCTTATAAAACAAATCAAAATTTTTAAAGCCGCCGCCGATGAGCATCTCGGCTGACACCTCTAATTGGAAGGGAATCTGATTTTTGATTTCAGCCTTATGAAACAAGCGTGTGGTTTTTTCGGATGCTGTCTGGAAAAATCTAGCCTCTTTCACTTCCAAAAATAATTAGGAAACATGCTTCCATTAAGTCATAAAAATCGAAAACTGATTTAATCGAGTAAAATTTTGATCTTATTTCTATGAGTTCTACTACAAGAGATACATACAAACTCTTTAGCATCGACTTGAAGACCAGCAATTTTCACTCGAATACTGTCTTCTGGTTGAATCATAAGATCCTAGAAAAATTCAAATATTTGCAAAATTAAATTCGAGAAAAAAAACATTCTTACATCTTCTTTCTTTTTATAACATGGTGGATTTGCACTTGGATCATATTCCATATCACGTGGAATACTCTGAAGTAAGAAAAAAAAACATTACTTTAATTAAAAAAAAAGATGAAACTTACATGACGTGAAATAAAACAAGTTAATGGGCCAATTTTACAAAAGATTCCCATCTATAGAAAAAAAAAATAATATAGACGTTGCCATAATATTTAGTAGAAATATTTTACTTTTGTGACTTGAGTAATAATAGCTTCAACAACTTCATGTTTAAATGGTCGGAATACGATAGCATGATATTTGACGGGAAAAATAACATAACCACGTCCTAATTATGAACTAAAGTTTTATATCGTCAATAGATCGATCCATCAGTTTTTACCTGGTTGAATTCTACCTACGCCAATATTATCTATGGAAGTAACAGCAATTACATAGCCGTATCTAATTAAAGAAAAGAAGAAGTCATTTTTCATAAAACCAATCAGAATAATAATTATTTACCTGCCAATGCATTTTCCTTCAACTTCATTGAATAACATTCGTCGCACTGTTTTAATCAGTTGCGGACCAAAATAACGCGGATGAAGTAAAATTTCATGATCCAAACTGACCTAGAGTACACAACATTTTTCATTATTTCAAAGTAATATCTGTGAAACTCACATGGAAGAACATTTTAAATGTTCGACTAGATGAAATAAGTTATTTTGATTAGCAAACAAAAGTGAAATTCTACAGCAACTTTATACTTTTTCCAGATAGTTTCTGTTGGCTAACTGCGGAGTCATTTCGTAATTGGCAACTCAAGATGACGCTAGTAGACGTTCTTTCGGTCAATGCATAAAACAATACAATTTGAAAGAAAAACTTTAGAACTGCACTATCTCTTTCAATTGAAATGCCATGAGCGATGACATGGAAAGTTTCTGAATATTACACTGTAATGAATCAGGATTTTGAAAAATTGCTTAGTACTTGCAGCTTCAAAAATGATTCTGAGTAATCATCGCAACCAGCTCTAGAAAGAGTGTGTACGATGCTCATGAATCGAAAACGTGAAATTTTCAAGTAATATAACCAGCAAAAATGTATAAAGCAAAGACTGAAAGGAGGTATGACTGCACCTGCCATATCCTATTCAGGATTCGCGACAACTAGAAGTAACTAGTAATTGTCTGCAGAAAACCTTAATTGTAGAGTTACTATTTTTAATTGATAGGAAAATCGAATTTCTTTAGATTTGTTTTGTAATTAAATTTTCTACTTTCAAGACATGAAAAATACAGTAGGGAAGTTCTTTTGATCATGAAAACACTTCATATTTGAATGTGACACTCCTACAGACTACTGGTGACAGCTATATGAAAAGTAATGCTCAAGTTGGCTAGAGGTATTCAGAGAGAAAATAATGGATTCTGATAAGAAAATTTATATAAATTTATGTATTTATTGACTTTTGGAAAATGTCAGTTTGCTATTTGGTGTTTTGATGAAATTTTATCTGCTTTACGTGTATTGCCTAATTGAAATGATTATGCACAATAAATCGTTTAAACAAAGTGTATGAGAAAAGATTCGTCTCTTACTCGTAACATTTGTTACTGTGCGAAACTAAAAACTAACAATCATTCTTCACCGACAGATTCTTTGTGTAGATCTCGTCGTTTTGCTTGATTGTACAAAAAATGTTTTTTATTTTACAATATGTCATTATTTCTATAAATTTTCTTTTTAGATCCATTGTAAAAAAAGAACCCTATTTACACTCATGGATTATTATTTAAGTAGATTGCCTGGTAAACGCTTTCGATATTCTTTGAAATTTTCTTCTATTGTTTATTTCGATTTAATAGGCGTTGGCAGATTTACGGGTCCACGACATTTCCAAATCTTCAAGAATCTGTATGAAATAGAGATAATTAATATTTACGTCTACTTTTACTGGTATTTTTATTATTTTAGTGCACCATCATTAGCACTATTCGGTGGATCAGTTGGTCTCTATTTTCTTTACATAACCGATTGGAAAGTCACAAATACAAATATTCCAATTTATGGACGTAAATTCGAAGAAATGAAACGAGCAGCACTGATCGAGAAACATGGACAAAAAGCTGTCGATGACGGAACAGCTTCGGACGATTAGGGTTTGTATTTTGGAATAAAAATATTATCATGCAAAAGATTATGCTATCGTTGTTCTATTTTTAGTTATATCATTTCAATAAACTGTATCCATACGAACGGTCAATCAAACCATAGTTGTAGAGTGACACGTTCATTTAGCTCCTTGAATCATTTATGTCTTTTGAATAGATAAAAGTTTTCACTCGTTTATCATCCATCCTTAAAGAATTCTTTTCTTTTCTTTTTTTATATATTTTTTTCTGAATTTCAGATGATCTAAAAGCCAACTAGAATGAATCTATTTGATATATTAAAATTTTGTTACGAGTATCCAGCTTTAGTATTAGCTGTCGGAATGGGCGTTGTACTCTGGTCAATGGTCCTTATGGTTGCATTGGGTGGTGGTCGCAATAATGCTGCCAAAAGAGAATAAAAAAAAACAACAACTAATGTTCCAGTTTTTTTACTAATATTCCATTTTTTACTCATATATCATTTTTTTATTTAATCTACATCTTTATTAATGGCAATTTTTTTTATCTTATGCTAAATATTGTGCGCAGTGTCTTTTAAAAGAAATTAAAAGTACTTTTTTTTTTGAAAAAATCTTTGTTTTTTTAAACAGTAATTTTGAGTATATTGAGATCGTTTACTGGGTTGGAAAATAATAAGGACTTGGTTGAGACGTTTGATAAGCGCTGGTTGGTTGTCGACCCAAGTAATAAGGCGATGGCTGGGCTGATAACTGTTGTGATGCATAGTTTGGGGTTGTTGGTTGAGTCACTTGGTGAACAGGTAGCTGTGGGGGTGCATAGTTTCGCATCATTGGTTGAGTCGGTTGATAAACAGGTTGCTGCTGTAATGCATAGTTTTGCATTGTTGATTGAGGAGATCGATAAGCAGATGGCTGTTGTGATGCATAGCCATAATTTATCGGTTGGGCTGGTTGATACATAGTTTGTTCTTGTGATGCATATTCAGCCGAAGTTGGCTGAATCGTTGAGTCGTTATAACTCTGTTGAGATGCGAGTTGCATAGGGTTTTTCGAGTTTAACATGATCTCTGGCGGAATCGTTGATTCAAAGTAACCAACAGTACGCGTATTTGGTTGTGGAGGATAAACAAGTGATGTTTCTGCTGCTGGTTGATATGTACTAGATTGCATTGTTGTTTGCGGTTGTTGAGCATATTGTTCAGAAGGCATATATGTTTGTTGTGGTTGTCGTTCTTCTACATCATCATAGTCGTCTTCTTCTCCTTCTTCTTCTTCTTCTTGTACTTCTCTATGACGATGACGCGATTTTAATTTTACAATTCTGCAAAAGAAAAAGATGAATTAGTGTTAAATAGATAAACTTTCCTATTCTTACTTAGAACGTGTAATTGGTTCTGATTTTCCTAAATATTTTTCTCGATTTATGATACGAACTTTTTCTGGCGGTATTTCGATTATATTTTCGATAATTTGTGGTGGCGGACGACGAACAAATACTCGTTCAATTACTTTTGGGTCAGGCGATTTAAGACGATGATAAACTCGTTTAATTTTGGGTGGTGGTGTCGGCAATCGATAGACTACAATTAGAATTTTTATTAAAATTCTTTTGTAGAATAAATTTTTATTTCAAATACTTTCTCTAACGTGCCGATCGCTTATTTTTATAACACCCAATGGTTTACTTAACCCGTCTGAATTATCATCACCATCACTCGACGATGTTGATTGTTCTTCATAAATATTTTGACGTTGAGATGCATTTGAGGGAAAATATTTATTTTTATTTTGAGGAAAAACATAGCTCTGTTGTATAGAGTTAGATGTTCGAATCACTGGTCGTTCACGTGTTACCAATCGACCCACATATTCAAAGTCCGATGAAGCAAGAGCTCTCAAGAGAAATACGTTTTGTTTCAGATTCAATATAGCAAGATTGATAAAAACTTACTTTAATCCATTTGTTGGATTTTGTTGACTTGAGGCCACTGATGAAATCGAAGACGATCGATACGAATGTTTCGAATTTTCCATCATAGATATTTAAAAAAAAGTACAGCGATGAACAAACAGAATATAACTGATTTGCTCGTATAAATGACAAGAAGAAAAAAAGGACGATGACTAGAAGGTTATATATCAGATACGGTCGAATGAGCAACATACTGTAGAATCAGTATATTTCGATATATTCTTTTTCTACAACTATGAATTACATTCGAATTTTTTTTCTCTAGATATAAAACATTGATTTTGCGTTCAAGTATTGAGCTTTTGTTCACTATCACTAGTGATTAATTATGGTTTGATTAATCATTGATGCAGTCAGTTGGGTCAGCCGTCGTATTGGAAATGCATTACGATCGACTCCCAAAATAGAAGGTGCATCGGCGGCAAAAAAACAGCAAGGATGACTAATGAAGGGGGGCGGCAATTGTTCAGCGGAAACTAACTCTGCTCAATATGAGCAGATTTCGTCGAAACAACGTTAGTGTTAATTTCCATAGATTCGAAAGTTTTTCATTTTCGATGTTTCTGTTGTTGTTCTTCTAGAAATGAACGCTCGACCAGGCTGTAGTCCATCTGAAAATGTTCGTCGTCGTCCATCCTAATCATGATCAAACGATGATGAACATTATATGAAAATCTACACACAATCTATTGCTCTTCGATTATGATCATGCTATCCTAAATCATAGAGTGGATATCATAGGAATCGAATAAAATAAATGCAATATGATTAATGTCTTCATTCTTCATATAATGTTCTCAACGATAAATGGTTTTTTTTTCTAATTATAACTTTAATCGAGAATTTTTAATAAATATAATCAAAATCTAGTAACTATCATGAATGTGAAGCGTCGAAAGTAGATTTCTCATTTTCCAGATACCATGTATTCTTCTTGTATAATGAAAAGAATAATTTCATCTTGCTATATAAAACAACGGTAAAATGTTGTTGAATCCATGAAATGCATTTATATATATATATCTATTAATTAATTGTTGTTTTAAGGAAATGTTTTTATTCATCAGTACAGTCTTTTACAGCTGTAGAACCTCCACCTGATAATTTACCAACATTTCTTACTAACGATGTTTTACGTGATCCAAATAAAAGGTATCAAAAAAAAAATGTTCAACAACAATAGATACATAGCATTGTCTTATCTGTTAGTCATCTTATTTCAGAGCAGCTGAATTATATATGCCATATAATAATATTTCCTATGATGAAGAATTGAAAGTTCGTTATAATATTCTTAGTTTGATTATTATTATTATTATTGAAATTTATGAAAACAATTTCTAGCTTAAACAACGTCAACTTGAAAGTCGTTTTCAATCGGTTGCTAAAACACTTTTCTATGATCGAGCACTTCATCCATCGTTACGTAAATTGATTCGAACAAATGATGTTAACCTATGTCCTATTCGAGATATCGAACGAACTGTAATTACTTATGATTTTTTTCAGCTAACTTTAATAAGAATTATTCTTGATTTTAGTCAGCAACGAGTGAATATTTAACATTCTGTACCGCTGATTTAGGTAAAACACGTTCCGGTGAGTTAGCACTAGGTCTTCCCAATCGACCAATTGCCAGTGATTATTCAAGTACGAAAATTCTTTGTCCTTGCCAATTTAATAATTAAAATTTAATTTTAGCATCACATGAAGACAGTCAGATGATGTTAGTCTTACCTATTGATGATATTGAATCATACAAGAAACGTGATCGATTGATTGTTAAAGTATGTGATCTTATTTCTGTTTTCGATTGACTTTAAAAAAAATTTATTTACAGCATTACTATAATTTTCTTCAAAAAGAAGTGAAAGATGTATCTAATACAGACTTTGTTTTACATCATTGGCGACCAATACGTATTTATACAAATAAAAAAGATCAGAAACTTGTTGTTATTGGTTATTTTGATCGAAAAACTGATAATTCAGTAAGATTTATTCTTAATTATTTATTTCTTGCGAGAAAAACGATGCTAGTACGTTTTTTTTTCTAAATGTAATATTATTATTCTTTGAAGGAACGTCAAGCAGCTAAAGAACGTTTGGTAGCATATTTTGAAAATGGACCAGGACGAGAATGTCAAATTGATCATTTATATTTCGAACGAAGGTTTGTTAAGTTTAATTATTTTTATTTGACTTTCTTTGATTTAGATTACAACGTTGGCCAATTATTGTCAATGAATCATTCTATGAACAGATTATTGGTGATAAAACTGAATCATTTCAATATGATTTATTTGGAATGAAATTTGAACCAAATTTACAATCATACGGATTCTCAAATCTAAGAGCCTACGAATCAGTTTGCTCTGAAGTATTAAAATTATGTAATCTCGATCCGACATCAACGATATTTCTTCAATATTTTTCTGATATTGGTTGGTTTAGTTTTTCTTGCTAAAATTTCAGTCTAAACAAAAAGAAAACTTTTAGGAATTTTACCATTAATTGCTAGTCAACATGTTGATCAATCTTATGGTTTTGATCCGAGCCAATTTGCAATAAAAGCAGCAATTAAAACACAAGAAAAATATCGTAATGACTATTTTTTTTATTGATAGATTGATCCTTATTTTTTATGCAATTATTTTTCTAGCTCATACACAAAATGTTCAATTTAATGTTTGTACAAAAAAAGATGAATTTAAAAGAGTACTAACAAAAATTGAACAGAATAAAAAGAAAAATGCTTCGCTAACATGTGTTTTTGGACCAACTCGAGGTGAACTCGAACGACAAGACTTACGACAAAGTAGCTATACTTAGGAATAGAGCTCTGTTTTTGAATTATAATCTTATTTTTTCTTCGATTAGATAAATTTATTGTTAGTGTATTACGTGAATGTGATCTTATTGATCGATTGATTGTTGTTCATCGTGGTGTGAATTCTTCTATTCTACATTTTCTCTATAGGTAAGGCTTCGTTATTCATCTATTTTGATTTGAAAAAATTCGACTGTTTTTTTCTCTTTAGTCTATCGGGTGGCGAAAGTTCAACACACAAAATATTTGGTTCACCATTTAAACCTGTGATAGTTATACCATTTGATGCCAATCCTCGATCAGCACTATTGCCAGACTTTGTTACAGTTTACGAACGTGATTAAAAACGATTTGTCTTTTTTTCTAATACTAACTGAAGAAAAATTTCATTCGATAGTCTTCAAATATCAGTTCTAAAAATTCAAATGCTAGTTTATTCTGGTGCACTTATAAAAGAGAATGACTAAAAACTATAAATCTTCCAAATCTCATATCATAATAAACAAAACAACATGGCGATTGGTATTATTTATTGATCTATTTTATGTTCTCATTTTCATTTTCACACGAACAATTCTCTATGGTTTACTGAAGATTGTTGTCTTGGCGTGCCTAGCTTTCTTCCATAGCAACTAGCTGTTAAATTAGTTGATATTCAATCAAAACTCACTCTGCTTCTATCTTTCAGACTAATGCCTTTCTACACCCATATTTTCTCTACTATTGATATAGAGATTCCCAAGTATATATTTTCAAAATTAATTAAATCGCAATACAAAACGGAATACAAAAACAATGATAAAAGCGAGGAAAAACTTCATTCGTGCATCGACAAACAAATATAATTAACCTGCCAATAGTTCATAGGAAATAAAAGCTGGTCTCATTTATCAGAATGACTTTTTAGCATAGACGTACCAGCAGCAGCGTAAAATACAAAATAAAATAGTTCCTAAAATGCCTCCTATGATACCACTAACGATACCAGCGGATGATGATGACGATGATGGACTGAGATTATTCTGAACTTTTTCACTCATATTTTCAGCGATTGCTGAATAACTATCGTTAATCATTTGAACAGTTCGTTTCAGGGTTGCATGGGGTGGGTGTGAGTATGGACATGCGTAAAATGGATTGGTAAAAGTTGAGCATGAGGAAAGACGAGCACGGGAAGTTAAGCACTGGAATAATAAGCACCGATAAAATGAGCACGAAAGAAAAAAACTTATAACGGCACAGGAAATCGACTGATGAATAAATTTTATTTATATTCTATGAAAAAAGAACAATTATAATGCAATACTATTAGCGATTGAGTCAAGTTGAGTTAGATGATCTTGATGAGGATTTGAAATTAGATGTAATAGTTGTTTTTCAAAAATGTTCATTCTATTTCTTGCGTTTTGGTACTTATCCAGATCTTATATGAACTATATCAGCATGTGTAGCATTTTCCTCATCAATAAGTTTTTGAAGAAAAACCCACAGTGTGGGTGTCGGTGTAGTAACAAATAGTCAAACCCACACGCAACTCGACACCCGACACCCACACCCTTTTATTTAATCTTTTTTCCTAGATTATTTTTCGCCTAATAGTTGGAGTCGAGAAAATGCGTCCCTTGATCTGTGATCGGGAAGGCCTACTCTGGAGTGGTCTGATAGAGATCAGACCAACTCAAGGTCAGCCAGATCCAAGGATTTGATCTTCTTGAGTTCCAAAAAAGGGTATGTGAGGGAAATTAAATTAAAAAGCTACAATAATATACTTATAAAAGAAAAAAATATGAAAAATTCGCTGCATGATAGGTTTGAAACACATTTCAGAATGTGTCGTGCTCTTGCTGGACAAAATGTGTCGCAACGAGCACCTCGTGTAGGACTCTAATGACTCGTACTTTGTGTCGCAAATCACGACACATGCGGTACATTTTAACTTAGTGTACACCCACACCCACACCCCATACAGAATCTCGATGCTGAATAAATTACAGTGAAAGTCTCTGGGATACACTGCCTTGATCATCGTCAATCTCGAATTGTTTGCGGTTGTTTTAGGATCCTCTAGGCTCTCGTTATTTCGAAAAGTGCAGATATTTTTTTCTGTTTTGAATTCAGTTTGAAATGGAATACCCCATAGACTCCGATTCTGCCATACATCCAGTGCTGATTGTTTTCAAATGGGAAAAATCTCATTACTGTTAGTCAACAAAGTGTTTCATACGAAGGTTGCTTATGGCAGCTATCTGCGCAAAAACAAATTGCTACGTAAGCTAATCTTGTGGGCGCAGTTAAAATCGCACCGAAAGAAAAGGCGAGACAGAAAAATCCGTTAGCTTACTTTGTGTGCTTCTCTGTGAATGACGTTCCCGATGCATTCAACTTTCTTAATAAGTAATAAGAGCAACCTAGCCCGCTTGCTTCCAGTATCAGATTTAAGCTGTGACAGGGTTAGATACGTCTCTACACATATCCATTCGAGATTGTGATATCTACTTCGATATAACACAAGACTAAGAATGCCAGTTTGGTTGCTCATTCTGATGGATCAGCGGAATAGTTATTCATCCACACCAATACTCTGTTTTTTTCTCGCCTAGAGACGACACATCCATAGAAACTGTAAACAAAAGCGACGCGTATATAAACAAACTGTAAATTTCACTTTCCCGTTATTTCGATTGACTGATCAGTACGATGAGGTAGTCATTTTTTTCAACGAAGTTTGCCTTTCCTTGTAAATCATCTTTGAAACTAAATCTGCTCGCCACAATGTATTTCATAAATAACTCATAACAAATAAACTCATGAAATTGTTAATTACTTTGGATATTTATCAAGCGTGTTGATGTACCCAATAGTTACTCATATGTTCTTACATGAACATAGTTCTGCCGCTGTGACGGAGAGTATTTGAAAAACAGGTTTGATATTGACTTCGCCACTTTACCTTACTTGTGTTACACTTAACTTCATGAAATGTTTTCGGATTTATATTAATACCACTGTTTTGTTTTAGATACCTTACTCCTATCAGAAAAAAATTATTCAGCATTCATTTGAAATTTGAATTTGGGTGTGCGTGTGGACATGAGTATTAGTATTCTTGAAGGGAAAACACACCCTCACACCCACGCCCATCTCTGTCCGAAACCGGAATCCGTCGATTCTCGTGGGTTTTGCTATAAGATCCGAGGTAACCCGTTTTCAGATCCGATTAGATCCAGTGGTAGGATAGAACGACCTGGGCTGTTTTCAGTATCTTTCCAAATATTAGCTATTTCGGATACGACAGATTCCAAGGACACTATCTAATATAACGATTATTGGAAACTATCGGAGTACACGGAATACCAAGGATTCTAGGCATTCAGGGTATTACTGAAGATTATGGGCATTACATGAATTACAGAGATAACTAGGAATCATTATAAAATCCCTGAAATTCCCAATAAGTAAGTGTGCACTTTAGTAATCCATGAATGATGAAAATATGATTTCATCTTTTTGAATTATATGTAAAATTGTATCAAAAATATGCCCAGTTTTGAATTACTTTGTAATTCAGTTTCGTCATGGACTTAACTTGATGATTACTGTTCAAAATAACAGCTTTTCACTGAAATACAAAATTCACTCATCTTTCGATTCAAAAGAAATGCTTCTAAGTGTTTCCATTTCAATATCTCAATTTCATAGATTTTTCTATGTTATTTATATTGCTCCCATCTTCCGTTATCTATTATGCATATTTGCTTCAATAGATCACCGGAAAAATTAATTCAAATGATGCCATTGAAGCAAATCATGAAAATCATAGATCGGTTCACCTGCTTTCGTTCACCAATCATCGCTGTGGAAGGTAAATCAATTATGTAGACTTCGTTATTATCGGAAATAACACCATTGCAATTTTTGTTACAGCAATGTGACAAAACCAGTATGCACAAACGAGATTGTACCATCTGGACACATAAGGTTATGACTGTAGAAATAGATTCTGACTAGGAATATTAGTCTTGGTGCGCTTTAGGCAGACGATGTGCTCTTGCCTGTGTGAAAGGACCTATGCCCTTGAGGGAAAAGCCCGAACTGACCATTCATCCACGCCCTTTTACCCAGCTCAATTTTTTCGAGGAAAAACTTTTTAAGGGATATATTTTCAATAGTTGAGTATTGTCTTTTCTTCCCAGATAATTACTGTGATCCGAACGTCTTTTTTCTTTTACTTTTACTTTTTGGAAAAGTCTTCCGGTGAACGTGCTGTCATTCCATATTCTTTTAGAAGTGTTCGAGCACACGTTTTAACTCATTTTTCGACTTCATAACCAGGTAGCACTATCTACGCCAGATCGTTTTGATCACATCTCATTGTTAAGTTCTCCGAACCATCCTCAAGGAACTACAGATTTGATGCTTGTCCCCATTCTCCACGCTTCATTTTTCATAAAACAACGTTTGGCTTAAATACTGCTATTAAATCTTCATTTTACTGCTAAGGAATGCCATTGATAAGAGCCATGTTCCGATGATACAGTTTACTTATCCATTGTATTTTGAAGAAAAGCGTGGGTGTGACTGTTAGAGGAATGCATATCTACCAACATCGAAAAAAAGGTGTCATACTGAATTTTTTAAGGTTCTATATTTGGGTAACATTTTCTGAACCGGTTCAAGGTTCAATTCAGCAAGTACAGAACCGCCAAAAGGTTCAGACTTTCCAACTGAACCCTCTTCCATTTCTAGAAAACATGTCTAGAACTAAAACAAAAGTTTTATATATCGGTGCTGGAAAGGTTAATTATGAAAGTTTTGTTCCAGAGAGTAGCAGTTTTTAAAACTGGTTAATTATTACGAATACAATTTATCATAGCATTTCTTCTAGCATTTTTTTTGTACAGGCGGAAGAAGACTCAGTAGCCATAGTCAAACACTTGACACTCTGAAAAAAGAAGTTCCATACCGAGCCTAAAAAGGTTCCTCTCCGAGAGATACGGGAAGAACCTTTTTTATAGTGTAGGTGAATATAGCAGCGTTGCTTATGATAACTATATTTGGAATACAAAGTGATGGGTAGTACTAGATTGTTCTTACGATCGTTCTCGTTGCATTTTATATGCTGGACAAGTCGTAGCTGTTTTTATGCTTGCTTTCCGTTGTTGAATATATGCACTTTCAAACCGAATTAGTCCTCTATTTTTCTTTGTTCAAGGTTTCAGGATTGGGTTTCCCTCTTTCAATGTTTACTGTATCATCAATCGAAACTACATACACGGGTGTGCTACTCCTGCGAGCACTACTGAAAGTAATGATTCTGCCGACATGAATATAAGAGTAGGTAGTGGTTCAAACAGTGCGACTGACTATGCGAATACGCTCTCTCATCACATATACAGTCACAGCCTGCTGTATCTCTTTGCTCTGCAGTCAGGCTAATGTAATTCTGTGTCACACGGATTTTCTCAGCAACGTTGATATGACGACACGCCAAAAAATAAATGCGATGTGAAGCAAAATCACTGTTATTGATAAGATACTTTCTTTATATCGACTTCATGTTTGTTCATCCGATTTAAGATCAAAGTACGACAAAAACTATGGAATCGGCATCGGGATCGGATTCGCCTTTTATGAGCAAGATGGCTTTTGTTGCATATCGTAAATTGCGTGAGATAGCAGACAAGTACAGACTTCAACTTGATCCACCACGTATCGTCTTTGTCGGCGAGACATCTACAGGAAAGTCTATGCTGGTGCAAAATTTTCTTGGTTTTCCGTGCACGTTTTCCCAGTCAGGTGTGGCTACTAGATGTCCGGTTTCCTACCAACTTCATTACAAGGAAGACGCTACTGAGCACCGTGTTATCAACCCAAGTGGTCTCCATACAAATGCGCTTGCTGCACGTCTTCATAATCATATGCAAAGTGTTGAACAAGAATCGAAATTCTCCACCGATGCTTACCAAATTGAGCTCGAGAGCAATGCCTATCCTGATTTGGAGATTCTCGACGTGCCGGGTCTCATCTGCGGGAGCGGCAACACTGAAGAACGAAATGCCGTTGAAAAAAGTAAGCTACTCTAAATAGACGGTTATCTGCAGACAAGCTGGCAGTTTGAAAAGCCAACCAGTTCTTTTCCACTGTCCATGGTAAAAAATTTCATGTAGATCGGACGGGATGTGAGCTGTGAGCGTGGGTCTTGATGTGAGTGTGAAGGTCTGAGGGTGCGAATGTGGAATATTTATATTGTATAATCACACCCATACCCTTTAAATCAACAATGGTGTAGTAACATATAGATCCTTCTGACGTAAGGGGACATCGTCGCTCTGGTTTTCCGACAACATCAGCAGCAAAAGAATTTTTATCTTACAGTCTAAAAACCGGCTCTTTCCTGAACCCCCCGAAAAGGTTTCGTAGTTTTGTCACAAAACCTTTTTCTGCTGTACAGAACGTAGAAAAGGTTTCACAGGAAAAAGGTTCTTCCCGTCGGTTCAGAGGGAAAAGTTTTGTAGAACTGAAACATCATTTTTTGAGCATTTGAATGCATTTGCAAGCTTTTACGAATCTACGGAAACTTTTCGGGGGTTCAGTAAAGAGCCTTTTTTTAGAGTGTATAAGAAATGTATCGAAAGAAAATTCTGAGAGCGCAACTATAACCTTTGGGAAAAGATTGTCTGCTGGCAGAATTTTGTTCACAGTTGACACTGGCGTGAGAACAATCCCATCTAACATGTCTTCGTTGTGAACGAAGAACAAATAAGCGACCATTTTGTTGCTTTTAGTTACGGAGTTCTATGTGCGTGATCCGAGTTTTGTGATCGTGCTTCTTATTGAAGCCAACCAAGACCTGGCGAATAGCTACGGTGCTCGAACAATCGACGATTTGTGCATGGGTAGAGTGAACAAAGGTTCTGGTAAACCACCTCGACTCGATTACAAGAATAGCATGCTAACTATTCAAACAAAATTCGATTTGTTCATGAACGATCATGCGAATGGTGCGCACGCCAATAAGGATATTCAAGAGCGCTTGGATATATTCAAAGAAACATATTTTGTCAGCATGATTTACGATGCTCGTGTCATGACTGACGAACCGTTTGAGAGCAATGTGCAGTACATGAGAGATTTACCACAGTGTGAAAGCGATTTGGTCGACCAATGGATTACTGAAAAAATCAATAAAAATGCTAAGAAACTACCCACGTACTACCCGGAATTCAATTCTGAAAGCTATCGTCACCTGATTGGCATTAATGTAGTGCGAGAAAAAATTCGAAATCGATGGTTACAGGTAAGACTTTGATGTTGATATGATTATACTTTTAGGTGGATGATCTAATCATTTGAAGAGATTTAAAATTATGTATAAGCAACTGCTACAATTTTCCAAAACCCTTTCTCCATTGGAAGCCTTGATTTTTATTTTGGAAATTCACAGAACTTATCTCGAGATAAATCATACTAAAGGTGTTCTTGTAGGAAAATTTCAAAAGTAAACACTGATGTTTAATTGTCCCTATTCACTTGCTTTGCCATTTGCCCCAAAAATAAACATTAACGCCTCTAATTAGTTTTTACCAGCTGCTGTCAACGAGGCCCGTCAGCTCGTTAGGGTTCAATCCGTAGGTTGCCTTTTCATTTTCAACTTGAATCTGCGACACAGGCGATCAGCTCAAATGTCATGGGCTGATAAATTAGCTGGGACTATCTGTTTTCATGAACATCAAGAATGCCAGTAAACTATTCTTAACTCAAATCGTGACCATTTGAGCTCACCCTCATCAACACGAGTGTGCCAGCTCCGGTTCAGTTCGGTTCCAACTAGAAGAATTGGTGTAAATGGCCACAGTTGAAACTGAAATTAGTCGGGATGGAGACTGAAAATTTAAAACAAGCTGAACACCACCGAACTAGTGCAACTAACACCAGTCAAATTCGTCAAAACTTTGATAAAAAAAGAACTAAATAACCCTCGACTCGATTTTCAAGGTCGGAGTTCCACTCGGTAGCTGAAATTTACGAATAACCTTGTCCTAGACTAGTCTGCATCCATTTCAATGACGACCCAAGCAGACAAACTTTTGGGAAAACGGGTTTAAACACTCAATCGGGAACCGCGATTATGAGTCATTAACACTCAATAACAAAATGCAAGAAAAGAGTTTTTTACGCAGAATTTTCACTTTCAGAGCGTAAAAACGGCTAAAAACGGGTAAAAACTCCAATCCTCAGCGTTTAAACGAATTAGTTTTTAATTTATAGAATAATTGTGCGTTTAAACGCTGAGGATTGGAGTTTTTACCCATTGCCACGCTCTGAAAGTGAGAATTTTGCGTAAAAAACGCGTTTCTTTCGTTTCGTTACTGAGCGTTAATGACTCGCAGTCGCGGTTCCCGATTGAGTGTTTAAACGCGTTTTCCCAAAAGTTTGTCTGCTTGGGGAGTGGGGACACAGTTTTGCATTAATTTTGTTTTCGATAGAACTCTGTGCCACAATCTCGTAGGCACCTGATTTCTGTTTTGTTAGTAAGAATAATATATCTAGTGCCAAAACATAAAAAAGGATTTGATTAAAAATTCTTTTTGAGGACCACAAGAGTCTTGGAACAAAATATATCACAAAACTCTTCCAAAACGGTTTTCACATATCAAAGATTTCGTAAAATTAAACACGCTATATTTTCTTTGTCCTGCTCTAAATTTAATTATGTAAGGATCGAGCAGTATTACTGTACAAGAAAAACATTTTCTATATGTTTTATAATGGACGAAATCAGCACTTTCGTAATACCGTATCAGTCGCTGATTTTTCATCACATTCAATACCAATAGAAAAATGAAACTCTACTCTAAAGCAGGAATATCCTGACGCTACATATTGTATTTCAAAAATAAAACTAATTGAGTCTTCTACCAAACGCTATTATTTCAAATAGCACAACTATTCTGTAAAATATTCAGACAGAAATTTGTAATCGCACTGGAAAATCAGATTGAAACAATTAATATTTTTTCAATAAATTGTCTTCTGTTTATTCGCTTGTATGTAATATCGATTATATTAATCCGAAACGAAAGCATTTGTTGTAATGAACAATTGCATATCTAACCCATATTCGTGTACACATACTCACACATAACACGGGAACGAACTTTCCAGGGAAAAACAAATATGTAGATTACACTGAGAGAGAGAGAAAAGTAAGAAATATAATATTTCTGAGTGTAACCCTTAAAACAGTCCTTTCAATGGAGGGAATGAATTACACGGAAAATATTTCAGAGACACCACATCTTGTAGGACCATGTATGCCATTAGAAAAGACGAAGAGCTTGAGAGGAACGATAATTAGTAATAACTGTATATGGATATTATTGATTGTTCTTTTAGGCATTCAAAAGAGCATTACCGGCTCTAAAACTAAAGCTCGTACAGCTGATCGGGAATGCTGAAAATGAGTACCAACAAGCCTTGCTAGATTACACAAAGTCAAATCCAACTCAAGTCCGTCTATCTTACCTAGGTTTCATCAACGAATATCGTCGGAAGCTGGCGTTGTATGCAACGTATAAGTCGGAAATCGAGATGTATTTCCCGCATAATCTGCACGGTACTAATTATAAAGAAGTCGAAAACGGCTTTATGTTGAATTGGCCACGACGGAAGAGATTGGAATGGCGAGCCCATCTTACTACTCAAGCAATGCAACAGTGCGCAGAAGCCGAGAATGCCCAAGATAGAAGTCTGCATAATTTACTCGACTGCAAATTAGTGGGCTCAAGTCATTTTGATCGCCTGCAGAAAGTATTTGCTTACATGGTTTTAACCTTCAAGCACGAACAATTAACTGCTGACGAAATTACTACAATTGAATCGCTCTTGTATGGTGGCCTGAGCTGCAGCGCTAATACAGAAAAACTGATGCGCGATACAATGCATCGCCTACTTCGTAAAACGTTCGCCGTCGGCATTACCTGGTTAACACAAATGTATTCATACTTACTTGATACTTTTCTGAAAGCTATTATTGAGCACTTGCTATCACAAAAGCAGTTCAATTATCTGAAAGAGCATGTTCCATTCCTTATAATTGTTGAACTAGATTATCACCGAAGGGTACGAACTATGATGCGTAAGGCCATACATGCTGTACGCGATGCACGCTTTGCTTACAGCGCTTATGCTCATTATGATTTGACGTCATGGTTGAAGAAGCTGACTTTTCGACTACCTGTTGAAATTCCACATCATTTTTATTCAGAAGAGATACGCGACGTTTATGTCAAGAATGAGGATCAAAGTAGTAGAACCTTCCGTGATGTGGAGGAGTACCGACTAGCAACGATTGGTGAAATATTTGCTAAAGTCAACCCGCCTCAGATTCTTTCTGCCATATTCGGTTCCGAATCGTACTTGCCTAGCAAACGTGATCAGAAATCAGGCTCTTACCATCCAAGCGCTAGAAGAACCATTGATGAATTGTATATGTCGACGTGTAGCAGACTTCTGTACGATGTATCCGCTCAGTTCAATGCGCATGTTGTGATCGGGATTAATAATTTTCATCATATCGAGCCATATTCTTCCCAATCAATTGCGCATATTCTCGCTAGTATGACAGATACCGCCATTGCTCGCCTAGCAAGTATCGATCTTGACAATGTTGGCAGACGCCTCGATTACTGGAGAGACCAAATTGTTGATCTTACTGCAGCCAGCGTACTGCTCGAAGGAGTAACGCAACAGCTTCATGATGATGGACGAAACTGGGATATTGAAATTCAGAGGATGGAAAGACGTGCGCAACACAGAGCCACGGCAGTTAGAGAGCAGCTTGACCATAGGCGTAGGCTCTTGAATCCATTCGGGCGAATACCCGGGACAAATATTTCTTCTAATTCTCAAGATGAACAAGCCGATGCTTGCTATGTGCAAGCAGATGATGTGGAAGATGAAGATATGTGTGTTCTCCTTAACTGCAGTGGCGCGTCAATGTGCGAATCACACCTTCAGAATATGTATCAACGTGATGATCAAGAAGATCTTGAAGCTGGTCTTCTAGAAGGTGATACACTGGAGCAGGATGCTTTATACCCATATACCAGTAACATCGGGGAAATTCCGGCAGGTAACATGGTTGAAACCAACTACTAAGAAGCGGACAGCTGAATGATACAGATGAAGATAAGGATTTCATATAGTGACGGTGTGGGTGTGCGGGTGTGATTTAATAGAAATGTTTAGATCAATTAGAAAACAGATCGAATTATATTTTTTGCTTCAATAAAAACCAATCTGCTGCTATCAGCTCTTGCTTAGCAGCAATCGATCAAGCCAAACACTAGTTTTTGGAAAAAACGAGGGTGTGGGTGTAAGTGGATATGTAATATCAAAGCAAACTATGACACGTTTTGACCTTGCGTAAGGTACGCATTTGGTAACTATGATCTGGTATGAGTTGGAATGGTTGGTATGAGATAAATGATTTTAGAGATCTTGGTGGAAAATGTCGAAAACATGATTGGCAAAAAGAAAAAGAGAAGTTTATAGAAAACTAGATGGTACTCGAGCTTCACTCGACTACGGAATGCGGTACGAAGCACAGATTCCAGTATTGAGAACAGAAGCTTGCGCAAATAAAGGGTGTGGGTGTAAGTGTTATTCTGTCCAAACGCTCATCCACATCCACATCCACACTACACGGGCAAATACACACCCACACCCACACCCACACCCACACCCACTCCCACACCTCACACCTCACACCTCACACCCCACACTCACCCGCAGCCACAGCCACAGCCACAGCCATCACACCCACACCCTCAAGATAGTTGGAACCATCGGGAAAGATTATCCGAACGATTCCGCATGTCTTAGCGAATTTTTCGATGCCCCCAGGTTGAGCTGTGGAGTCATTTTCGTCGAAGGAAAGTGTGGTTCGATCCGTAATGAAAGATGCTTAGAATCCAGTTTCACGAGGAAAAGGTACGTTGAAACCATTGAGAAAGATTATCGTAACGATTCTGTACGACTGTTACAATCTTTTGATTTTTGAAAAATGATCCGTGGAGCGATTTTCTTTCAATTGTTTTTAACACAAGGGTCCATTCCATAGATTTTGAAAGTACTTAATGAATAAAACGTTAGTGGTGATGCTCCAGAATGACATTCAGATGTATTTTCTATGAATTATCAATGATTTCGGTGGGTGAAAAATGATTTTAGGAGCGATTTTCGGTTAATTAATGTGCCCAATTATTACTCATTAATGATGTTTAAAATTATAATAATTGATGAAAACGTAAGTGGTGATGTTCCAGAATGACATTCAGATGCATTTTCTATTAATTATCAGTGATTTCGATGGATGCAAAATGATGTCAGGGCGATCTTTTCAAGAAGTGAAATGCACGAAGATGGCGCAGTGAACGGGTTGGTTTTGTGTTTAATGAATACGATTTGTAGTAGATTGGTTTCGGATTATTCTAAGTACGGGCATTGGTGAGTCAGATGTTGTTGTTTTCGGGTTACAATTTTTTTAGGGTGTTTGCTGTTGAGAAAAATGTTTGTTGTGGACCCGTTCGAGCGGGGAGGGTTTGGATTATGTTTTGGTTATTGATCAGGCATTGTCGTTTCGGTTGGTGTGCGTGTTTCTGAAGACTACAGTTGATTCATGTTTTGATTAAAGAATGCTTGTATGAGAGATTTTTTATGAGGTCCTCGTCATCGGAACTGGATGGAATCCGGTCAAACATGTGGTGAAGCCGTTGTGAAACCGGCATCATCCGGTAGTCCGAGTGGATCGGTTGCGGCAATGTTCGGTTGTATTATCCGGCAGGAAACGACCGGACCATTTTCCTTTGAATTCCGGCGGGGTTTCCGGGAGCAAAGATTCCGGCGAAATCCCTGTCGATCCTGGCAGATTTCAGTGGAAATCATGCCGTCTTCTGGTGTTATCCGGTGCCGGTTCCGACGGATCCCGACTGAATCCGGAGGCAGGATGGAGTGACTTGGGTAATGGAATTTCTTATGCCTGTTTTTGTTATACACTTGTACTTGATTATTATAAAAATTGATCAATAAATAATTCTCTGTCATATTCAACACTGATGTTTAAAATTGTTTCTGTTAACTGAAAACGTATATTCCAATTTCTGCATGAACTACAGTTGCAAAAGACATGTTTGAAAAGGATTTATTTCTATTTTGCTTATGCTATACTTGCTTCATTATGATAACGAATATATAGTCGATAAGAAATCGTTGACGGATTATTCTCAAGAGAACATGTTCAGATGAAACTTTAACCGATTTTTAAATTCGAATGAATATTCAAATAGACCTTTCCCTTCAAAGAGTATGTATAATGGTTTATGCTGCTGAATTCGATGTTAAGTACGATGAAAGTCTTATAACGACAATTTTTTTCCGATTTATAGAATGTGTATAGCTATTAAACTCAAATAAGACTTGTAAAATGATGAAGACACAACCAATTGTGTTATACTGCATCATTTCTAAATGGCTTTCAGGAATTTAATTAAAATATGTGATCAACGATGAGTATCACTTGTTTTACATTTGTTATTGATGTCATCATACAATGAGTATTGCTGTTCATCGACAAACAGATTGATTCTAGAGTTCAATTGCATCACATGTACCATATCCATCTGAACTCGTTTGTCTATGAATACCAATCAATTTGATCCCAAATATTACCACAGAATCACCGAAACTGATGCAATCACTTTCTACGCCCTTTTCCCTCGGCAAAAAAAGTTTTACGTGTTGTTAGCGCTCACGAGGAGCGACAAACACAGTTAACGAATGTGTTTATATTCTCTCTGTTTATTCTGTTAGAAAACAAACGTTTATATACGCACGCGAAAACAAGGACAAGAAAAATAGAGAAAAACGAAGAGAAAAACGAAAAGACAAAAGAAAAGAAATAGATCGAATCGAGGTATATATGTTATAGTAGAATACACCCTAACATACTCCCCTATTGG